TACACCTTGTTATCTCTAGTGTGAGAGAAGTGGGTTCTGGTTTGTGAGGCAGTGGCACAAGTACGGGAAGAAAGGCGGGGCGGGGCGGTGCTGTATTATTGGGAATGTCTACAACTAAACTGTGATGTGATAGGGGTGAGCTTACAAACTACATAAATTTGTAGACTATGTCAAAACTAAAGAATGGAAAATACCCTAACTACTTATCAGAGAGTAACCAAACAGCTTGCCCCTTTTCTCCGAAGTAGAGCAAGAACCGATTCCAACCTGCTATTGGGATGATCGAGTGTAAGTGCCACGTTGGTATTCCTGTAAAACGGAATGTGGAGTCAGATATATTAGGGGAAATGTAATCTAATGGGTCGGATCTGAGAATTGAGAATGGATGCATGGAGCGGAAGGGGTTAAAGCTGACAATGTGACATGCTAATGAGACACAGGATGTAGGAAGTGAGGAAAAGTCACATTGCCTTGCTGCCTGGAGGATTTATGGTAAGATGTGATTGGGTATAATTCTGAACTCAACTAAGTGTTTTCCTTAGTTCAGACTCTGTCAATGGGTACTAAGGGTGTTGTAGACCTGGGGTTGGTAATTGCCCGGGGGTTAGGGATGGCAATCTGAACCAACAGTTGTATCTGGGCCCTGGGTACTTTCACTTTCCATGGGAGAGTAACAAACTGAGGGGAAACTTGCCTGACCGAGCCCCGGCATCGTTCACAGCTATATCACCGTCAGCAGCGTCTATACCCCACAGGCACTGACCCGGCTCCCCCTCCCAGGGTCAGCGTTTTGATTCTAAGGAAGAAACTTCTTATTCCTGAGGAACAGCCACGAAACGGCTAAAGTCCACAGGGCACTCTTGCGGTATTGTGCTGTTTGAAACCCAATCTCATTTCTGAAGAAGGGTCTAGGCCCGAAACGTCAGCCTTCCTGCTCCAATGGTGCTGCTTGGCCTGCTGTGTTCATCCAGCTCTACACCTTGTTATCTCATCTCATCTCACCTCTGTTTCTTTTTGCCAATGACCTAAATCTGCATCCCCTGGTCAGGGGGTCTCCGGCTACTGGATTCAGCTTCTCCATCTCTGTCGCTCCTGATTAGGAGCCCATCGTGAATTTAACTCCTCCCTCTCTGTAGCCCCATGACTTGCAAGGCTATGAACAAGAGATAGCAAGAACTGCAGATGCTGGAATCCGAGACAACATTGAGCTGGAGGAACATAACAGGCCAGGCAGCATCAGAGGAGCAGGAAGGTTGACGTTTTGGGTCGGGACTCTGCTTCAGAAAATGAAGGCTATGAACAAGATGCTGGGAAGATGGGATTAGAATGGGCAGCCAGTTTTTTGTTTGGGATGGTGCAGGTCCAGTGAGCTGAATGGTCAGTTTTTGTGCTGTAAAGTTTTAGTTCCTATCCACTGCACAAGAGTAGAGTAATTTGAATGTCCCTATGAAATTTCCCCTTCAATTACCCTATTCATTGGAGAATAATTCTAGTGTCTCCACATAACTGAGTGCTCTTATGCTTACTCCAGTCCTAGAGCTCACTAGGGGGGTCAGGACAGGGCAGGTAGGGAAGAATGTTCCCATATTGTAGAAAGTACAAGAACCAGAGGGCATGTGGGTTAAGGTGAATGCCAAAAGAATCAAAGGCAAAGTGAGAGAAAATGTGTGCAGTGAGGTGTTTGGATGTGGAATGCACATCTGGGGAGTGCAGATTAAACTACGGCTTTCAAAAGGGAATTGGATTATTAGCTGAAGAGAAAAAGAATTGTAGAGGTGTGGAGAAAAGGCAGTGGAGTGATACTGGGTGCAATGCCCTCGGAGAGAAGTAGGCATAGAGAAGATGGGCTGAATAGCCTGTTGCTGTGCTGTAGCCAGTCAATGATTCTCTAATCTCCAGCTGAGTTCTGACCAGTCTCTCATATAGATGCAGTATGACATCCTTGATTTTGCATGTTCTTGCTCTACATGTAAAAAGTGACATAGGCTGTGTTAGTAACCTTCTCAATTTGCACTGCCACCTTCCAAATACCGGCACACAGGAAGCTTTAGATTTCTTTGCACCCTTTCAAAGATGGGTCCCATTATCTGATTTTTTTTGGAATAGGAAATGCTGGCTACATTCAGTAGGCTGGGGGGAGTGTGTGGAGGAAGAAACAGTTAACATTTAGGTCAATAACCTATTGTCAGAACCGTAAGAAGTTGGTGATTAAAAATTTTATAAACTAATGTAGGAAAAAGGGAGAAGAAGGAAGAAATGAAAGGGGAGGTCTGTGATAGATTGGAATACAGAAGAGATTAAATGACAAAGATAATGGGGAATTTGTTGGCCTGTGGCAGTGAGAGTAAAGGCAAAGGGTGAAGTGGTGTATGTCTGTTGGGCTGGATCCGTGATGTCATTGTGCTATTGATCAATTTGATGTTGCTGATGAGAGAGATTAGCTGCAGCGACATTAGTGGCTGATCATGTTTTTAAAGACCCAGCTGTCAGGTATTTTCCAACCTTTTCTTAATTTTACAAATGGTGCATGGGACGTGCAGAGCTCCTAGTCTCACCTATTCAAATGTGGGATGATCTGAGCAGCAACTGAGTCATGGAGGGAGCTAGCAGCCACTGTATTGATATTACTAGTCCAGTCCAGTTCAGTTTCTGGTCAGTGGTAACCCCTAGGATGTTGACGGGGGTGGGGGTTGATTTCACATACCAAGGTTAATTCAATGGGATGAGCTTGAGACTGTGCACAGTAAACTGCGCATACCTCCATAACCCTCCCCTCCCTCAGCTTATCTGCAACTGCAGCCCTCATCTGTTTTTACTATCTCCAGACTCCACTATTCTAGTACTGTCCTGACTAACCCCTTCTTCGACAAACCTCATCTCTTTTGAAACTCAGCCTGTTTCTTAAATCATAACAACACTCTGCCCACCCTCCTTAACTGACTCCTGGTCCAGCGTTGCTTCAATTTTAAAATTCTTGCCTCGTTTTCAAATCATTCTGTGCCTTCCTCTCTCGCACCCTTCGTCTGTGAACCCTTTTCCCTCTGTGCGATCCCTACCAGTCCCACATCCCTTTGAGAACTTGAAATCCCATGACTCTGGTCCTATCTCCAATTCCCTTTGCCCTGTCACTGGTGATTGTGCCTTCAGATGTTCATCACAAGGCTCTGGATGTTCCTCCCCAAGCCTCTTTGTCTCAGCCCCACTCACACTCCTCTTTTTCTTTATCCCTTAAACTGGCTTTGCCCATGCTTTTTGTTCACTGTCCGAGTACCTTTTCTTCAGCTCAGTGTCAAATTTTGTTGATGCTGTGATGAAACAGGATAGTGAAGAAGGCATTTGGTATGCTTGCCTTCATTGGTCAGTGCGTTGAGTACAGGAGTTGGGAGGTCATGTTGAGGCTGTACAGGACATTGGTTAGGCCACTTTTGGAATACTGTGTTCCATTCTGGTCTCCCTGCTATAGGAAAGGTGTTGTTAAACTTGAAAGGGTCCAGAAAAGCTTTACAACGATGTTTCCAGGGTTCTAGGGTTTGATATATAGGGAGAGGCTGAATAGACTGGGGCTATTTTCCTTGGAGTATCGGAGGCTGAGGGTGACCTTATAGAGGTTTATAAAATCATGAGGCGCATGAATACGATAAATAGACAAGGCCTTTTCCCCAGGGTAGGGGAGTCCAAAACTAGAGGGCATAGGTTTAAGGTGAGGGGAAATAAAGGGACCTGAGAGGCAACGTTTTCACACAGAGGCTGCCAGTGGAAGTGGTGGAGGCTGGTACAATTACAACACTTAAAAGGCATCTGGATGGATATATGAATAGGAAGGGTTTAGATGGATATGGGCCAAATGCTAGCAAATGGGACTGGATTAGTTTAGGAAATCTGGTCAGCATGGACAAGTTGGACCAAAGGGTTTGTTCCGGTGCTGTACTACTCTATGAAACTAGATGTTTTATTGTGTTATGGAGGTCGTAGTATATTTCAGTCATGATAACAACAGCTTGGATTTATGGTGGAAGAAATGCTGGTGATGGCAAACCCAGAATTTATTTAAAGATTTGAGCATGTAGTAGTCCCTGATGATGAGTGGTTTTGCCCAACTGCAGTTATGCAGGGATCCTGCTGAGACTGAAAGTGTTGGACTGAACAGAGGATTGGTCTGCTGGTTTATTTCTTCATGATCTGTCTATCCTTTGTTTAATCAACAAACCAGGCTGTTCGTTTCAATTATTTATTTTTTCTCTTTTGTAAAGTGATGGAAACCACCTCTGCGGCGAGTCTGGTGCCTGAGGAATTTGAATGTGGAGTTTGCAGCAAACAGCTGGATAGACCCAAGCTGCTGCCATGTCTTCACAGCATTTGCCAGGAGTGTCTGCAGGCTGAGAAGGCAAACCCAGTTGGTGCTACCTGTCCTGTGTGCAGTGCCCCTGTGGACGAGGACGTCACTAATGCACAGGACAACACGTTTGCTGCAAACCTGCTGAGCAAGCTGCAGTTGCAGAAGAGGATAGAAGTGGGTCTGGACATCTGGTGTAGCCTGTGCCAGGCCTGTGGGGATGACAAGCCAGCCATCTCCCTATGCTTCGAATGTGACCACTTCATGTGCCTGAGGTGCTGCCACTCCCACCAGCTGCTAACCGAAAGGTACAGACACCTGGTGAAGACTCTGGATGAGCTGAGGACGCTTGGCTGTGAAGAGTTTGTGACTTTCGCAAGGAAGGGGAAACAGACCATTTGTCCAGACCACAAGGAACAGAATGTAAGGTAACGATATTCTGTTCGATGATCCCAATGATTATAATCCCCCTTTACACCCTGCCCTTTAGGTCTCCTCATGTTATGCAGGATCCCCTCATTGAGAAGATAGTGCTCGCAGGTCAAGCTGCCATATTCATCAATGGCTATGCTGTTCCTAAGGTATAATGGTGAGGACCTCTTTAAATGTTTACGAGAAGAGGTAAGAAATAAAGGGAGTATACATTAATCAGTCAAAAACACAAAGGGAGCATGAATAGTATTAAGTTACTGATGTACTATGAATTAAAGTTTCAGGCAGTTGATTTTTTTGATTGATTTATCGTCACATGTACCGAAATACGGTGAAAAGCTTTGTTTACGAGCGCTACAGGCAGATCACAGCAAGCAAAGGACGTACAGATCAAAAAGACTTCGAGGCATTCAGGTTACATTGCAGGTTACATTATTTTGAGGCTAGAGTCCATTCAACAGTCTGATAACGGACAGGAAGAAGCTGTTCCTGAACCTGTTTGTGCGTGTGTTCAGGTTTCTGTATCTTCTGCCTGACGGAAGAGGTTGTAGGAGATCATTACCAGGATGCGATGGGTCTTTGATGTTGGCCGCCTTTCCGCTGCAGCAAACCGTGTAAATGGAGTCCATAGATGGGGAGTTGGCTTCCGTGATGGTCTGGGCTGTGCACACCACCTTCTGCAGTTTCTTACGGTCCTGGGTAGAGCAGTTGCCATACTAAGCCGTTATGCACCCAGACAGTTTGCTTTCAATGGTGCATCTGTAGAAGTTGGTGAGGGACCTTATGGACATGCCAAATTTCCTGAACCGCCTGAGGAAGAAGAGGCATTGTTGTGCCTTATTGACTGTAATATCTACGTGGGAAGTCTATGACTGGTCATTGGTTATTGTCACTCCGAGGAGCTTGATGCTCTTCACTGTCACAACCTCGGTTCCATTGATATAGATGGGGGCGTGTTCTTCTCCTTTTCTTTCTGAAGTCAATGATCAGTTCTTTAGTTTTGTCGACGTTGAGAGACCGGTTGTTTTCATTGCACCATGTCACCAAGCCCTCTATTCCCCCTTCTGTATTCTGACTCATCATTGTTTGATATCCATCCCAATACAGTGGTGTTGTCAGCGAACTTGTAGATGCTGTTCATTTGGAATTTGGCAACACAGTCGTGGGTGTGCAGGGAATACTGTCGGGGGCTGAGGACGCATCCTTGCAGGGCTCCAGTGTTGAGTGTTATTGTGGAGGAGGTGCAGTTACCTATCCTCACTGATCGCTGTCTGTGGGTCAGAAAGCTGAGGATCCAGTTACAGAGGGTGGGGCTGAGACCAAGGTCACACCGTTTTAAGATCAGTCTGGAGGGGATAATGGTGTTGAAGGCAGAACTGTAGTCAACAAGCAGGAGTCTGACGCAGGTGTCTTTGTTGTCCAGATGTTCCAGGGATGAGTGCAGGGCGAGGGACATGGCATCTTCTGTGGACCTGTTACGTCAGAAGGCAAACTGTAGGGGATCGAGGCAGATTGGGAGGCTGGAGTTGATGTGGGCCATGACCAGCCTCTCTAAGCACTTCATGGTTACTGAGGTCAGAGCTATTGGGTGGTAGTCATTAAGGCACATTGCATGTGTTTTCTTGGGTACAGGGAGGATGGTGGTCTTCTTGAAGCAGGTGGGGACTTTGGCTTGTAGGAGGGAGAGGTTGAAGATGTCGGTGAATACCTCCACCAGCTGGCTCGCACAGGATCTGAGTGCTCGGCTGGGGACACCGTCCAGGCCCATCGCTTTCCTTGGGGTGACTCCCAGGAAAACCAATCTGACGTCTGCACCATTGACGGAGGGAACAGATGTGTCCGGGGCTGTGGGGATGGGCATCACCGCGCCACTGGCATTCTGCTCAAACTGAGCATAGAAAGCATTGAGCATGTCAGGGAGGGATGTGTCATTGTCCACTATCTCACACGGTTTCATTTTGTATCCTGTAATGTTGTTTAGACCTTGCCATAGACAGCGGGAGTCGGTTTGGGCCTCCAACTTGGTCCAGTTCTGCCTCTTGGCCTCCCTAATGGCTGTACAGGAGGTCATATCTGGATTTTCTGTATTGGTCTATGTGGTCTGACTTGAATGCTGCACGTTTGATCTTCAGTAGGGAGTGGGTTTCCTGCTTTATCCAAGGTTTCCGGTTGGGGAACACTCGGATTTGGTTCACCGTTCCCTACACGTTTGGTAATGAAGCCCGTGACGGAGGTGGTGTACTCATCTAAGTTTTCCGCTGAACACTTGAATACGATCCAGCCCACCGAGTCCAGGCAGTCACAGAGACGGTCTTCCACAGCCTCGCACCAGCACTGTACTGTTTTGTGAAGGAGTCTCCCTTTTCAGCTCCTGCTTGTAAGCTGCGAGGAGGAACACAGCGCTGTGATCGGATTTTCCTAAGTGTGGGCGGGGGATTGGGTGGTGGGCATCTTTGATGGTTGTGTAGCAGTGGTCCAGAATATTCCATCCTCTGGTGGGGCAGGAGATGTGTTGGTGGTATTTTGGCAGCACCCTCTTTAGGTTGGCTTGGTGAAGTCGCCGGCCACAATGAAGAGAGCCTCGGGGAATTTTGTCTCTAGAGTGTTTATGCCGGTGTAAATCTCGTCTAGGGTGTAGTTAACAGTCATATATGAATGTTATAACAGTGATAGTAATATGATCAAGTTAGGTTTGAAAGGCAGAAACAACTACAAAGATTCAAGACTTAGGAAAGGTTGATTCAATGGGTTGACCCCAAGACCGTCAATAATAAATTGGACGAATCTGTAATTGGATGATTGGGAGATGTTTCAAAAGTTGCCATAAATTTAATGTGCTGCAGAGCCAATTCATATCCTATAGGGCAAGAGTTTCACTTGGCACAAAGTGAGAACCAGGGTAAATTAACAAGGTAAGAGACGAGATGGAGCTAAAAGAGAGTGAATTCAAGTGCAAAATAAAAACCCTGAAAACTCTGGCAATTGGAGGAGATACCTCAAACAGCAAAGGGTGACAAAATACATTGTGGTCATGTCACTGGAGGCCCAGATTAACACTCTAATTTCTGCTCCTGTGTTGTTAGTGGACATAAGAAAGTGGTGGACATGGAGAAATAGAATTAACTATAAGAGCACGAGTAAGGAGTTTGTGGATGGTATGACTTGATTGTTTGTGCAGAAAAAAGTTGCAGGAAGGTGTCAGTGAACTGGTTAAGTTCACAAATAACTGCCAAATGAAATTCAATTCTGAGAAAATGAGAATGTATTAGGGAAAGGCAAAGAAAGCAACCTGCTGAGAAGTGTAGAGGAACAATAGAGAGGATGTGCGGGAGATTCCCAAGGATGTTGGCAAGTGTGAAGAAAGATCAAAAAGGCTGGAGTTAATTTTTGTTTTGGAACAGACCAGGCTGAGAGGAGGATTTAGTTGAGGTGCATAAGATTATCAAATGCTCAAATGGAGTGGACAAGAAGACCTATCTCAGTTATCAGGAAGGTCACTGACCTGGGGAGTGGATTTGAAGTAATTGATTGAAGGTCTAAGGAAACTTGAAGAATTTTCACCGAGAAAATACCGTTGGAGTGGCGGAGGCTGAGGGGAGACTTGATAGAAATCTATAAAGTTATGAGATGCATAGGTAGAGTTGTTGGTCAGAATCTTTTTTTCCCCAAGTTGAAATGTCCAATACCAGTGGGCATGCATTAAAGGTGAGATGGGGGGGAAAAGTTTAAAGGAGATGTGAGGGGCAAGTTTTTTTTTTTTACACAGAGTTTGGTAGGAGTCTGGAACGTTCTGCCAGGGTTGGTGGAGGAGGCAGAAAGGCCCCATAAATTTCTACAAAAATCCCGCTATGGGGCTCAGTGAAAACTTTGCTTTAGACAGCTCCTGTGGTGGATGCTTTAATGTGCTAAGGCTGCTATGTAAATGTTGTTGCACCTCTGTTTTAACATGTCAGCCTTGCTGTGTTTGACTTTCTTTTCAGGTTTTTCTGCAAGACGTGTTCCATGAGCATTTGCTGCACTTGCCTACTTCTTTCTCACATTTCCCCAGATCACTGTTACCATGACATTAAGCAGGAAGTCATTCTGAAGAAGGAAGAGTTGAAACAAATGGTAGAGACAATCCAAGAAAACCACAACAAATTCATTGAAGCCCACAACCAACTGAAATGCCTGAAAGAAAGCTTGGATATTGCGAAAAATAATACAGAAGCATTAATAAAACGGAAGGCTTCAGCCACTATTGAAGAGATTGATAGGCAAGGCGATGCATTGCTGACAGAGCTAGAGAGTGGGTGCAGTTCTGTGGAGAGGAGATTGACCAACAGCTTGAACAATGCAGAACAAATAATTAAACGATTGGGAGCTGGCAAAGTGCAGGCAGAAAACTTGCTGAGGTTTGGCAGCAGTGAGGAGATGATGGTGATGTACAATACAATCAACTCAGCACTGACGGCTGTTGTGACCGAGACATTTGAGGATCTGAGTAAGGAAGACACTTGGATTGAGTTCATAGAATGCACATTGGAAACACAGAATCTACTGGGAACACTCTTTTGCAAAGAAGGTAACTGATACTTAATAAGTTTAGAGAAATATTACTTTGCATCTAATCCTGTGCTGGAGCTGCGATGGGAGTATTTGATGGGGACAGTGTAGAGGGTGCTTTACTCTGTATCTAACCCTGTGCTGTACCCGTCCTGGTAGTGTTTGGTGCTTTCAATGAATGAATATGCTCTCAAGCAACAACTTTTCCTATGGAACTCCCTGTTAAATTGTGTGTTACTTAAAGGAACATGGCTCCAACGTTGAGGGCCCTCACTGATATTCATCCAATCACACTTTAGAAATGTGAAGTTTGCTGCATTGTCCTCTTATTGATAATTCACCTTGGTAACAATTTGCCTCCATCTGATTGTTACATTTTTGATTTCAGAACCGATCGAGGAAGCTGATGATTCTGAAGCTGAGGACATGCTGCTGGTAGGTACTGCAGAGGTGGAGATGGCTGCTGGATGGAAACACTGAAGCTGGCTATTTAGGCAATACAGATGCCCAATTCTGTGGTGTTCATCTAACCCGCAGTCGTAGCTGAGGGAATGGGATAGGATAGAAATGAGGAGCAGGAGTAGGCCATTCAAACAAGCTCTGACATTCAATTCGATCATGTCTGATCCCCTATCTCAATGCCATATTCCTGCTTTCTCTCTATATGCCTTGTTGCCTTTAATATCTAAACATTTGTCAATCTCTTTCTTGAATATGCTCAGTTACCCATCTTCATATCCTTCTGTGATGGTGAATTCCACAGATTGACCACCTTCTGAATGAAGAAATGTTTCTTCGTCTCCGTCCTAAATGGCCTTCTCTGTATCCTGAGACTGAGTTCCCTGGTCTAGACTCCGCAGCCAAGGAAAACCCCCTCCCTGCATCTAGTCTGTTACAGTGGTATGTGGTTCAAACAGATTTTTCCTCATTCTTCTGAACTCCAGTGAATACATGCCCTGTTGAACCTCTGCTGCAATCTCTTTTTGACAAGGATATCCTCCTGAGGTAGAGAGTCCAAAATTGTGCAGGTGTGGTCTCACTAAGGCCCAGTATAACTGCAGTCAGACATCCCTACTTCTCAACTCAAATTCACTTGCAATGAGGATGAACATGCTATTTGTTTTCATAATTGCTGCTGCACCTTACATTGGGTAGTGTGGATCTACACCAATATATTGCTCTGCCTTTCTGTATTTCACACCAAAGTGTATAACTTCACATTTATCCACGTTATACTGTATCTGCCACTTTAGTCTAGATTACCCTGAAGCCTCCTTGCATCCTCCTCCCAATTCATAATCCCACCTAGTTTTGTGTTGTTAGCAAACTTGGAAATATTTCTTTTGATTTCCTCATCCATTATGGATATCGTGATTGGCTGGGGTCAAAGCACTGCTTCCTATGGTACACCATTGGTCACCACCTTCCTGGAAATTGGAAACTGATTGGTCAATCTGTCAACCAATTCTCAAACTATGCTAGTATATTACCCGTACTTTAATTTTGCTCACTAGTCTCATAAATAGGACCTTATCAAAAGTTTTCTTGAAATTCAAATATACCCCATCCACTGGTTCTCCCTTATCTCTTCTACTAGTTACATCTTCAAAGAACAACAGTGGATTAGTTAAGCATAACATTACTTTCATAATTGCATGCTGACTGTATCTAATGCTGTCAATATGGTCTGCTTTGGACCTGGGGCCAGTTTGGCAATAGCTGCTGTGTGTGGGTATACTTTGAGTGTGAGGACAAAAGTTCACCCTGGGAGTCACAAACTTTTTTTAATTCATTCATGGTATGAGGGCATCAGCATTTATAGCCCATCCCCAAAATTAAGAGTCAACCACATTGCTGTGGGTCTGGAGTCACATGTAGGACAGACCAGGTAAGGATGTCAGTATCCTTCCCTAAAGGACATGAGTGAAGCAGATTGTGAAGAAAAAAAAAACTGTGGTTTCATGGTTGTCATTAGACTTTTAATTCCAGATGTTTATTGAAATTCAAATTTCACTGTCTGCAATGGCAGGATTCAAACCCGGGTCCCCAGAACATTACCTGGGTCTCTGGATTAACAGTCCAACATAATACCACAAAACCATTGCCTTCCCCCACCATGTGACATTGTGCACCTTTGCATGAATTCTGTGGACTCGAGCTGTGGATGGTGATCGAAGACGCTCCAATGTTTTTCCCATTGCATGACTGACTAGAAAGTTCTACACCGTTCTCCAAGTTTGCTCTAAGTTGGCTTAACCACCACAAGGAGCAGGCAAATGCCTTTATAAGGTTTTGGCCCCAGGAGAGAGGGACTCTTGTCACAGTGACTCCATCAATACATGTAGAATTTCTTACTGTTGTTCTGTTACCACGACCAGGAGAGACCTTCAGCAGGAGAGAGCCCAGGCAACTTCCTGATCCACCCAGCAGCTGAAGAGATGCTCAGAGCAACCGTGAGCAACACCGATGAGTTTGAGTTCGAGAATGTGATGTCACCAAACAGCAAGTATCTTTTTAACAGAGATCTTTAAAAGCGATCTTTTTAACATCCTTGTGAACCACAGGTCTGGCCTACACTGGATTATTACTTATGAATGTAAGGAGTAGAAGCAAGAGTAGGCCATTCAGCCCTTTAAACCTACTCTTCCATTCAATGAGATTCTGGCTGATTATCTGTTTTTAATACCATATTCCTGCTCTATCTCCATTATTATTGGAGTTTTTAATGTGTAGAAATCTATGAACTTCCATGTCCCTCTGTGGTAGAGAATTCCAAAGATTCATCCCCCTCTGGTCAAGTCCATCCTCGTCTCAGTCTTAAATGGCCTATCCTTTATTCTGCGACAGTCTCCCCGGTTCTAAACTCCTCATCCTTCCTATATTGACTCTGTTGATCCCTGTAAGAACTTTGGTTGTTTTGAACGACATCACCACCTCTCGTTCTTTGGAACTCTGGAGAACATGAGCCCCGGAACTCCCTGCTCATGAGGGTGTTGAAACAGAAACAATTGATGCTTTCAAAAAGAAATTGGATGGACAATTGAAGCAAATGAAAGGAGGAAGCAGATTCAGTGTGAACTATCAAAAGGAAGCATTTGAAAGGGAATATCTGTAGGGTAATGAAGGAAGAACTGGAATGAATTGCTGATTCGGGCACAGTGGAGCTCCTATTGTGCTATACACCGTGTAAGGATATAGGGTAAGTTGTTTAGAACTGAGATCAAAAATTTCTTCATCCAGAGAGTGATGAGCCTAAAAAATTCTCTGCTGCAGAAAGCAGTTGAGATCAAATCAGAAGGAAGGAGTTAGATACAGTTCTTAGGCCTAAAGGGATCAAAGGGCATGGGGAGAAAGTGGGATTGGGAGGCAGAGCTGAATGATCAGCCATGAATCGGGGTGAATGGCTTCCTCCTACTCGTATGATTTAATGATTTTTCTCGAGTGCCCTGATCTGCTCCTTCCTTGGGCCCGCACTCCCTAAGAGATGTGTCACCTTCAAAACAGGGAATCCTCTCTGGTTGACACGAGGCCAGATTTAATTCTGGTTGATCCTAGTATGTGCTGGCTGTAGTAAATTTTCATGGTCAGGTTCATTGACAGGCACCCGGGCTCCTGCTGAATAAAGCAGCAGCATGAGGCTGTGCAATAGCCTGGCCTGAAGCCCTTTGGCTGAAGATGGGAAATATTTTAGGATGGATTTCCCTGCCTGTTAGGTGGCCTTGTTTAATTGTACTGCGTGCAAACTTGCTCAGGCTCTCCTGTCACATCTCTGCTGAAGTGGAAGATTTTGGCACATTGAGTAGATTTCTCCCTTAAATCACCTAGAAATATTAGTGATTCCTGCCCTGGGAGTCTGGCTGAACCCTGATCCATCTCCATTCCTACCCTTTAAGCAGACAGGAAGGTCATCTCTGTATCCATTTTAAGGATGAGATCTTAGCTTCAGTATGTTTCCCATTGGAGGTCAGTTTCTGATGCAGAATTAGACCTGGCTCCTGCTTCCTGCCTCCATATCAAATATGCAGGGCAAGGCGTTTCAACTCATTTACGCAAAAAACAAGTATTCGCCCCATCACCAATGTTTCTGCCATTAGAAACAAGATTTTCTCAACTGTCAAAACCCTCTCTTGATTTTGAACAGCCTTAAACCCTCTAACTTTTCCATGAATCAAGACCAATCCCAGCCTCTCCACAGAGCTGCATTCCATCATTCCTGCACCATTTAATAAATCTCTCCAAGGCTGTGACAGCCTTCTCAAATAACCATGCCCAAAAATGAACACTTCCTTCATCAAAGAGCTCAATCAAATTTGTCAAAATGATTTTCCTATCTTAAGGAAAAAAGACTTCAGTTTAATTTATGACTCCATACACTTCCAAATGACAACTTATTTGTCACAGTTTTTTTTTAAAGTTTGTTCATGGGATGTATGTGTTGCTGGCTAGCCAGAATTTATTGGTCGTCTTTAATTTCGATAGAAAAGGTGGTGGTGAGTTTCTTGAACCGTTGCATTCCATTTGGTGTAGGTAGGCCCACGGTGCTGTTAGGGAGAGAGTTCCAGGGTTCGGACTCAGTGACAGTGAAAGAACGGCGATATGTTTCAAAGTCCGGATAATGTGTGGCTTGGAGGGGAGCTTGGTGGTGTTGCCAAGTATCCGGTGCCCTTAGGATTGAGGCCATAGGTTTGCAGGGAGCTGTTAAAGGAGATTTGGTGAGGATCAGAATAGTTTGCTCAGTTTGGCTTCTGCCAGGTCCACTCACCCCTTGTAAAAGCAAAATACTGCGGTTGCTGGAAATCTGGAAAAATACAAAAAGTGCTGGAAAAACTCAGCAGATCTGGCAGCATCAGTGAAGACTGAGACAAACACAATTAATGTTTCAAGTCCAGAATGACTCCTGGTTGGAACTGCTTCTGGCATCTCAGGAAAAGGCCAAGTTGGATTATACACTCAGCCCGTGTAGCTGTAGATTGTTGTGTATGCTTCAGCTTTATTCTTTACACTGATGTGCTAGGTTCCCCCATTATCGAGGATGGAGATATCGGATACCTCCAATGTTTAATTGTCCACCACCATTCACGACTGGATGTGGCAGGACTGCAGAGCTTAGATCTGATCTGTTGGTTGTGGAATTGCTTAGTCCTGACTATCACTTGTTACTTGTACTGTTTGGCATACAAATTGTCCCAGTTTGCCGCTTTACCAGATTGACACCTCATTTTCAGGTATGCCTGGTGTGGCTCTTGGCAAGCTCTTGTGCCCCCTTCATTGAACCTGGGTTGATTGCCTAGGTTGATGGTAATGGTAGAGTGGGGGAATTAGAATCATAGAGTCATACAGCATGGAAACAAACCCTTTGGTCCAACCAGTCCACGCAGACCATGTTCCCAAACTAAACTAGTTCCACCTGCCTGTGTCTGGCACATATCCCTCCGAACCGTTCCTATTCATGAACTTCATAAACATTGTAACTGTACCTGCATCCACCACTTCCTCTGGCAGTTCATTCCGCACATGAACCGTCCTCTGTAAGCAAGTTGTCCCTAATGTTCTTATTAAATCTTTCTCCTCTCTCCTTCAAAATACTCCCCCTAGTTTTGAATTCCCCCATCTTAGGGAAAAGACCTTTGCTATTCACCTTATCTATATCCCTCATGATTTTATAAATCTCTACAAGGTCACCCCTCAACCTCCTACAGTCTAGTGAAAGAAATCCAGCCTAATTTTATAGTTTAAACCCTACATTCCCAGCAGCATCCCGGTAAATCTCTTCTGAACCCTCTCCAATTTAATAATATTCTTCCTATAACAGGGTGACCAGAACTGCACAGAATACTGCAGAAGAGTCCTCCGCAATGCCCTGTACAATGTCAACATGACGTCTCAATTCCTATACTCAATGGTCTGAGCAATAAAGACAAGCATACTAAACGCCTTCTTAACCACCCCTGTCTACATGTTACGCAAATTTCAAAGAATTATGTACTTGAACCCCTAGGTGTCTCGGTTCTGCAGCACTGCCTGGGGCCCTACCATTTTAATTGTATAAGTCCTGGCCTTGTTTGTTTTACCAAGCTGCAATACCTCACATTTAGCCCAAATTAAACTCAATCTGCCACTCTGCAGCACATTGACCCAATTGATGACAATCTCTTTGTAATATTAGATAACCTTCTTCAATGTCTGCTGTGAGATTACGGATTGTTTGAGTATGATTCATCTGCTGCTGATGGCCCACAGCACCTCATGGAGACCCAGTTTTGAGTTGCTAGATCTGTTCAAAGTCTGTCTCCACGATGGAGGTTATTCTCAGTGTGAAGGGAGGACTTCGCCTCCACAAGGACTGTGAGGTAGTCACTCTTACCAATACTGTCATGGACAGATGCATTTGTGACATTTCCCCTTTTGTTGGTTCCCTTACTACCTGCTGCAGGACCAGTCTAGTGGCCAATCATGGTGGTGGGCATTGAAATTCCCCATCCAGAATACATTCTGCACCCTTGCCACCTTCCGTGCTTCCTCAAAATTGTTCAACATGGAAAAGCATTGATTCTCCAACCAAAGGAGGACAGTACATGGTAATCAGCAAGAGATTTCCTTGCCCATGTTTGATCTGATACCATGAGATTGCATGGAGTCTGGAGTCAATGTTGAGGACTCCTGACCATATACCACTGTGCTACCACTTCTGCCTGGTCTGTCCTGACAGTGGGACAGGACATATCCAGGGATGGTGATGGTAGTGTCTGAGACATTGTAAGGTATGATTCCATGAGTGTAACTGTGTAGCTTGACTAGTCAGTGAGACAGCTCTCCCAGATTTGGTACAAGCCTCCAGATGTTGGTAAGAAGCACATTGCAGGGTTTACAGAGGTAAGTTTGCCATTGTTGTTTATGTTCCCAAGTTGTCCATCTTGTTGGATACCTCTTAGCGGTTTGATAAAACTAAATTGACTTGCTAGGTTGTTTCAGAGGGCAGTTGAGCGTCACCTGCATTGCTGTGGGTCTGGAGTTACTTATAGGTCAGACCAGGTGAGGATCTCTACAGCAATTTACAGTGGTTACATGGTCCCCATGAGTACACAACATCTCAGTCTCTATGAAGGCATTGCCCAAGACTGCACTGTAATGGGCTGCTCTTGTTTCTTCCTACAGGCTGTTCGCAAAGTGCAAACCAAGGACAGAGTGACTCAGTGGACTCTCTCAGACTGCCATTCACTAATATGGTAGGACAGGTGGAGTGGGTAGGAGAGGAAGATGAGAGATCTGAGCAGACTTTGACTCTGGCTTCTGGCTGCAGTGCATCGGCAAACAATGTGTGTCCAAGTGGACATTCTTTCCCAAGCAAATTCACGGAGAAGCACCAGGTATTAACTTTATCCTTCAAATCTGCCTTCCTGGAGTCTGACTGGGTAGCACTTTAGGTCTTTGGGAGGGACTAGCACCACCCAGAATGTCATGAAGCCAGTGTCCGCCATCTGCTGGAGAAGCTTTATGGAGGGAAGACAACTGAACACCTAATGGCATTCTTTCAGGAACACTGGAGGAGGTGGTACTACGGTAGTAATATCAAGCCAGAGACCAGGCTGCTCTTGTGGGGACACCAATTCAAATCCCATCATGGCAGCTGGTGACATTTTATTACAATTAAGAAATCTGGAATAAAAAGCTAGACACAGGCACAGTGATCATTCAACTATAATCCGTTGATGTAGAAAACCATCTGGTTCACTAGTGTCCTCGAGGGAAGAAAGTCCACTCTCCATTCCTGGTCTGGCCTAACTCCAGACCCACAGCAATGCGATTGACTCTTAACTACCCTCTGAAGTGGCTGAGCAGAACACTCAGTTCAAGGGCAATTAGGGAAAGGAATCAAACGATGGTCACGTCAGTGAAACCCACACCCCACAAATAGAGCAAATAAAACCCTGAAGCTGTGCAGAACATCGGCCGCCAGTGTCGGTTTGGAAAGGATAAGCAATATCCTTCTGGTACGGGTAGTGACCATGGGCTGCAGTAGCCTCAGAGATAGCCAGCAGACTGTTCACCCACAGCTCATTGGAATTTCATCCATGGGGGCTGGCATCAGTGTGCCCCCAGATGGTCCAGCAAGGTGGTTCTTTCTCAAAGTGGCTACACTCTCACCCAGACCAGCCAGGCAGTACCTGAGAGTAAGAGGGCAGTGCAACTTGTGGCTTGGAACCAGTCACCGGAGACCTGTTAGGTCCTTCTGCACTCAGTGAGTCACAGACATGACCTTGTCAGTTGTTGTTGCTCAGTGACCACTTCAGCCAAGTTCAAGGTTCACAATTAAACCAATCGGCAAGGTCAACCAGAGGGCGAGTATAGATAAGCCCATTTTTCTGTGACTTGAATAATACTGACCCTCTTTTTTTCCCTCTTTGCTGTTGCAGGGCTGCCTTCTTCTGGTGAGAGTGTGGCTTTATGTTTAATGAATAGTGCACAAACTGCCAGCCCTGAAAACAGGAAGCACTGCCATTCATGGAGCTGATATTTGAATGGAGGCTGGCCTGTGGGAATAGGTGTTGCTCATCAGAATAGTTTTCTCTCATTTCAATGTTGCTGGTCTTAATGCCAATCTGTTGGGAAGATTTTTTCCTAACCTCCACAGCAGGAATCCGTTGTCTGTCATGATCTCTGGATGTCTCAAGATAATTAGCACCAATGTTTTATGTCTGAAGTATAGTTACTGTTGCAGCCAAATTTTGCAGGGCAAGCTCCCATAAATAGCCATGTGATGGTAATCAGAAACCGTTTTTTGAGATTTTCCTGACCTACAAATCTTAGCATCTAGGAGATCAGAGCCAACCTCCCTATTTTGATTTGAAATAGTGCCATGAGGTATTTTGTCTCCATCTGAGAGGGCAGATAGGATCTCATGTTTGGTGTCAGCACTGGACTGTCAGTTTTGATTATGTGTTCAAGTTTCCAGAGTGGGCCTTGAAACCATGATCTTGCGAGAGTATCACCATTGAGCCAAGTTGGAGCCTAGTATCTGTTAATGGAACAAGACTGAGTAAAGCAGCTGAATAGAGTCCTGGCCTCTCCACTGGAATTTACTGCACTGCTGAAAGGGGAACAAAAACTCCTAAATGAGCTGGAAACACTGGTTATTGAGGGCACTCATTCTGTCTGAAACTGAGCTCTTTTCTTTTTCTGCAGAAAGCTTCAGACAAAAGGCGGAACAAACAATCACAGTCACCAGAGGATGGTAAAGTGACAAGGGCCAAAAAACAGCGCCTGCACTCTGAACATAATTATAGTGTGAAGCTTGCATCTGACAGCCAACCCGAGCTCCTAGTCCAGAGCAACATGGATGGGACTATGCCGAACATTTCCTTTGAAATCGAAAAGGAACCCTGGCAACTGCCAACAGGTCAGGATGCAAGGTGTCAGTGTTTCACTGTGACACAAGGATTGTAAAGCGCATTCAGCTCACAGTCTAAACTATGCAAGTTATGTAGTGTTCAAGTGCACAGTTTCAAAGGAAGTCCCAAAACCACGAGAATTGAGTATCGAAGGCAGATGCAATACGAGATTGGATTAAGACTAAAGCTGCCTCTGCTCTCTGAAACTCAAAGTAAAGGTCCCTCGATCGATACTGTCCCCATCAAACACTCCCAGGACAGGTGCTGCATGAGGTTAGATACAAAGAAAAGCTCCCTCTACATTGTGCCTATCAGACACTCCCGGGACAAGTGCAGAATGAGATTATATGCAGAGAAAAGCTCCCTTCATACTGTCCCCATCAAACACTCCCAGGACAATGGGGTTAGATATAGCGTAATACTTCATCTAGAAAATTAACATCAAATGCTTGCTGGAGATGTGTTTGAGCAGAAATGCGGGGGCATACACAGTAAACCATTTACAGGATGTGTTTTTATTTTATTTTTTTTGGAAAGGTGAAGTCTGAGATATTTACAATGAAATGTTTGGAGAAGAGAGTTATCGAGACAATGTTTTTGTTTAGTGAAGAAGAGAATAACTAGTGGCCATCAATATAAGATAGTCCCCAAGAAGTCCAAACCTTCTGGGACATTGACAGAATCTTTACCAAAAGAGTGATGAGAATGTGGAACTCTGTGCCACAGGAATTGTTTGAAATGAATAGTATGAAGATGTTTAAGGGGAAGCTAGACAAGTGTATGAAGGGGAATAAAATAAGAAGTTATGAGGATAGATGGGAGGAGTTGCACATCAAATCAGAAAGGACTGGTCGGGCTGAATGGCTTGTTTCTGTACTATGTTGGTGCATTGAGTAAAACAGAAATTCACAGTCACTTGTGGATGTAGTGAGATTCAATATTTGCATCTGCTAGCTTGTCTCTTATTGATGTAACATCCTTGTCCATTTACAGGGCCCTTGTGGGATCTTTCAGTGTTAGTGCAGTTTCAGTCAATCTGCACGATGACTAATATCTTTCCAGTCTGTGGGAGAGAGAAAGAGTTAATTTTCACATCAGTGACCCTTCGTCAGAAGTGGCAGAAATTCGATATTTTAACAGTTTTAAGCAAAGTACAATGGCAGGGAGAAGGGGTGGGAACCATCAAATGGGAACTTCTGTGGAAGGAAATGACAAATGGAGATGTAATGAGACAAGTACTGGAAACAGACAGTGCGTGGAAGAAGTCACACCACCACAGACTATTGCCATCAAAAACAGCAGAAGCTGGTTTGAAGTTGTTGAGCTGCATGTTGCGTCTGGAAGGCCTCAAGTGCCAAATTGGAAGATGAGGTGCTGCTCCTCAGGTTTACACTGAGCTTACTTGGAGCACAGTAGCAGGCCGAGGATACAGATGTTTGAGTGGAGTAGAGAACTAAAATAATGAGACTGCAAGTGCTGCAGACTTTTCACAAAGCAGTCTCGTGACCTGCGATTAGTCTTCCCCAAGTTGAGCAGTCTGCAGTGTGCGCAGCAAACACAGTTCACCAGGTTAAAAGGAATACAAGTTAACCACGGTTTCACCTGCAATTTGTAACAAAGTGAGTGGATTGCCTCCCTGGGAGAGGAGGTGTACGGGTAATGATACTAAACTCGGAATCCAGAGAGACATTGGTTCAAATCCCACCACCACGAGGATTGATTAATAAATCTAGAATCAAAAACTAGCTGAGTTATGGTGACTATTACTCAATCGTCAACTCTTATAAAAACCCATTGGGTTCTCTAATGTCCTTCGGGAAAGGAAATCTGCCAACTTTACACACTCTGCCGATACGTGACTCCTGACCCATAGTAAACTCAGTTCAAGGGCAATTAGGAACAGGCAACAAATTCTGACACTGTGAGACAAGCTGCGAAGTGACACCCCCAATCCAAGATAAAATAAAAAGTGTTTGGAACTTTGAATCATGAGAAGCACTTAAACAGTAACAAATAATATTTGGGATAACAGTGTGGAGCTGGAGGAATACAGCAGGCCATGGGAAGCCCCATTTCTGAAGAAGGGTTCTGACCCAAAACATCAACTTTCCTGTTCCTCTGATGTTGCCTGGCCTGCTGTGTTCCTCCAGTTCCGCATTGTGTAATCTCTGACTTCAGCATCTGCAGTTCTTGCTATCTACAAATCATATTTGTTTGTGATTGTTTAAAGGCCTTTCAAACTTTTAATATGTAATCTTGCATTAAACCTAATGTATGCTGCAGAGAAACACTGGTCCTGAAGGTTCTGCATGCAGTTAGATCTTTTTTATTCGCTTGTAGCGATGTAGGTGCCTCATTTATTGCCTGTCTCTGGTTATCTTTTGAGAAGGTGATGGTGAGCTGCCTTCTTGAACTACTTTAGGTCCATGTACTGTAGGGTGACCCACAATGTCCTTAGGGACGGAATTCCAGGATTTTGACCCAGTGACACTGAAGGAACAGCGATATATTTCCAAGTTAGTATGGTGAGTGACTTGGAGAGGAACTTGCAGAAGGTGGTGTTCCTATGTATTTGGATGGAAGTGGTTATGGATTTGGAAGGTGTTGTCTAAGGATCTTTGCAAATTTATGCAGTGCATCTTGTAGATATTGACTCTGTTGCTACTGAGCATATTGGTGGATGTTGGTAGATATGGTGCCAACCAAGCGAGCGGCTTTCTCCTAGATGATATCAAGCTGCTTGAGGGTTGAGGCTGTGCTCATCCAGGCAAGTGGGGAGTATTCCCGCACATTCCTGACTTGTACCTTGTGGACAGGTTTTGGGGAGTCAGAAGGTGAGTTACTCACTGCAGTATTCCTAGCCTCTGACCTGCTCTTGTAGCCACTCTGTTTATGTGGTGAGTCCAGTTGAGTTTCTGGTCATTTGTTGATAGTGGAGGATTCAGAGATGGTAAGGCCTTTGAATGCGAAGGTGCGGTGGTTAGATTGCTTTTTGTTGGAGATGATCATTACCTGGTTTGTGTGGCATGAATATTTAATGCCACTGGTCAACCCAAAGTTGGATATTATGCAGGTCTTCTCGCATTTGGACATGGACTATAGCTGGGGAGTTGTGAATAGTGCATGGTGCAGTCATCAGCAAATATCCCCACTTTTGACCTCATGATGGAGGGAAGATCATTGATAAAGCAGCTGAAGATGGTTGGTCTAGGACACTACCCTAAGGAACTCCTACGAAGATGTCCTGGAGCTGAGGTGACTGACCTCCAAACAACCACAACTATCTTCCTATGTGTCAGGTTTGACTCCAACCAGTGGAGAGTTTTCCCCTGATACTCATTGATTCCAGTTATGCTAGGGCCTCAGTGGCGAGTAAGTTATTGGAGAGGATTCTGAAAGATAGGATTTACATGCATTTGGAGAGACAAGAACTGATTAGGCATAGCCAACATGGCTTTGTGTGTGGGAAATCATGTGTCTCAAATTTGATTGAGTTCTTTGAGGACATAACCAAGAAGGAATGTGAGGGTAGAGTGGTAGACCTTGTCTACATGGACTTTAGTAAAGCCTTTGACAAGGTTTGACATGGTAGACTGGTTAGTAAAGTTAGATCACATGGGCTTCAGGGAGAGCTTGCCAGTTAAATACAAAATTGGCTTGACGATAAGAGACAAAAGATGGCCTGTTTTTCGAACTGTGACCAGCGGTGTTCCACAGGGGTTGATGCTTGGTCCACTGTTTTATTATTTATATAAATAAATTGGATGAGAATTTAGGAAGCATGGTTAGTAAGTTTGTGGATGACATCAAAATTAGTGTTAAAGTGGACAATGAAGCAAGTTATTTAAAATTACAAAGGGATCTTGATCAATTTGGCCAGTGGGCCGAGGAGTGGCAGAAGGAGTTTAATTTGGATAGTGGTGCATTTTGGTAAGACTAAGAAGGGCAGGACTTAGATAGTTAATGGTAGGGCCCTGGGGAGTGCAGTCGGACAGAGAGACCGGGGGCTTCAGGGAAGTAGTTCTTTGAAAATTATGTCACAGATGGACAGGTGTGGTAAAGAAGGCGTTTGACATGCTTGCTTTCATTGCTCAGACCATAGAGTGTGGGAGTTGGGACATCATGCTGCGGTTGTACAGGAGATTGGTGAGGCTACTTTGAGAGTACTGTGTACAGTCCTGATCATCCCGCTATAGGTGGGATATTGTTAAATTGGAGAGGGTACAGAAAAGATTTACAAGGATGTTACCGGGACTGGAGTGTTTGAGCTATAAAGAGAGGCTGGATAGGCTGGGACTTTTTCATTGGAGTGTAGGATGCTGAAAGGAGACCTTTACAGAGGTTTATAAAATCATGAGTGTATAGATAAAGTCAAAAGCAGAAGTCTTTTCCCTAGGGTAGGGAGTTCAAAACCAGAGGGCATATTTTTGGGGTGAGGGGAGAAAGATTTAAAAGGGACTTGAGGAGCAACTGAAGTCCATGTATATGACATCTACAGCCCTTCCCTCATCTATCAACTTTGTCACTTCCTCAAAGAATTCTATCAAGTTGGTAAGACATGACCTTCCCTGCACAAAACCATGCTGCCTATCACTAATAAGCCCATTTTCTTCCAAATGTAAATAGATCTTATCCCTCAGTATCTTCTCCAGCAGCTTCCCCACCACTGACGTCAGGCTCACCGGTCTATAATTTCCTGGATTAGCCTTGGTACCCTTCTTAAACAAGGGGACAACATTAGGAATTCTCCAGTCTTCCGGGATCTCACCCGTGCTCAAGGATGCTGCAAAGATATCTGTTAATTCCCCAGCTATTTCCTCTCTTGCTTCCCTCAGTAACCTGAGATAGATCCCATCCGGACCTTGGGACTTGTCCACCCTAATGCCTTTTAGAATACCCAACACTTCCCCCACTCCTTATGCTGACTTGACCTAGAGTAATCAAACATCTTTCCCAGCCTCAACATCCATCATGTCCATCTCCTCAGTGAATACTGACACAAAGTACTCATTAAGAATCTCACTCATTTTCTCTGACTCCTCACATAACTTCCCTCCTTTGTCCTTGAGTGGACCAACCCTTTCTCTAGTTACCCTCTTGCTCCTTATGTATGAATAAAAGGCTTTGGGATTTTCCTTAACCCTGTTTGCTAAAGATATTTCATGACCCCTTTTAACCCTCTTAATTCCTCGTTTCAGACTGGTCCTACTTTCCCGATATTCTTCCAAAGCTTTGTCTGTTTTCAGTCGCCTAGACCTTATGTATGCTTCCTTTTTCCTCTTTGCTACTCTCACAATTTCACCTGTCATCCATGGTTCCCTAATCTTGCCCTTTCTATCCCTCATTTTCACAGGGACATGTCTGTCCTGCATTCTAATCAACCTCTCTTTAAAAGCCTCCCACATATCAAATGTGGATTTACCCTCAAACAGCTGCTCCCAATCCACATTCCCCAGCTCCTGCCGAATTTTGCTATAGTTGGCCTTCCCCCAATTCAGCACTCTTCCTTTAGGACCACTCTCGCCTTTGTCCATCAGTATTGTAAAACTTACGGAATTGTGATCACTATTCCCAAAGTAATCCCCTGCTGAAACTTCAACCTCCTGGTCGGGCTCATTCCCCAACACCAGGTCCAGTATGGCCCCTTCCTGAGTTGGACTATTTATATACTGCGCTAGAAAACCCTCCTGGATGCTCCTTACAAATTCTGCTCCATCTAAACCCCTAACACTAAGTGAATCCCAGTCAATGTTGGGAAAATTAAAATCTCCCATCACCACCACCCTGTTGCTCCTACATCTTTCCATAATCTGTCTACATATTTGTGCCTCTATCTCACGCTCGCTGTTGGGAGACCTGTAGTACAGCCCCAACATTGTTACCGCACCCTTCCTATTTCTGGGCTCTGCCCATATTGCCTCACTGTTCGAGTTCTCCACAGTGCCCTCCTTCAGCACAGCTGTGATATCCTCTTTGACCAGTAATGCAACTCCTCCACCCTTTTTAGTTTGGGGAAACTTGGCTGGTATGGATGAGTTGGACCAAAGGGTCTGTTTCCGTGCTGTATGATTCTATGGCTCCTTGATGTCTAGGAATCCTATTTAAGGGATGCTGTGATCCTATTCCTATACATTCATGAGAACTGTGTCAATTGGTGTAGCTACAGAACAATGAAATTTTGCCCTTGAAATTTATTTTATATTTGTTCATGGATTGGCTTAGCCAGCAATGCTCACAATGTTCATTGCCCATTTGTAACTGCTCTGTGAAGGTGAGGAAAGTTCTTCAACCATTGAAGTTGATGTGGTGTAACTATACCCACAGTGCTGTGAGGGAGGGAGCTCTTGGATTTTGACTTAGCAACACCAAAGGAATGGCTGATATTTCCAAATCCGCGATTATGAGTAGCTCGGAGGGTACTTTGCAGGAGCTTGTGCTCCCATGCATTGGCTGCCCTTGGCTGGGGTGTTAAGAAGTTGAGATTTTGGAAGATGCTGTCTAAGGAGATTTAGTAAGTCGCTGCAGTCCATCTTGTACTGTGCATTAGTGCTGAAGGGAGTGAATGTCAACGTGATGGTGGATAGGATGCCGATCAAGCGGGCTGCTTTGTCCTGGCTGATGTTAAACTTCTTGAGTGTTGTTGGAGCTGCAGTCATCTAGGCAAGTGGGGAGTATTCCATCACACTCCTGACTTGTGCCTTGAATGAGCCAAAGACTCATCGCTGAGTGAGCAAGTGCTATATGTTGTAAGAAGTGTGCTCGGAGGGTATTAGGTTTTAAAGGCCTTCAGAGGAAGAGGAAGTGGTGAGGGAAGGAGAAGATCAATTTAAGGGTTGAAAAGTCTCATCTCACTGAATACAGGATGGATTTGGGAATGATGGACAGGAGAAGAGGTGACTTTGCCTACTCGGAGGATGGCAGCTCCAGTCAACCAGCATTACCTGTGACCCAGGAGTGCCGGCAAGCACACTAAAACAGCATCTAAATCGGTTCTTACATCTTTAATGGCATCTGAAGTCAATGTTCCAGATAGATGCTGCTTGTTGTCAAATACCAAGCATTGCTCCAGCCAGGTGCTTTTCCTGGAGTAGGTTAGTTTTAAAAAGAAATAAGGTGAATTTTTAAAAGTAAACATTTGAGACATATTTACAGTCTTGGATTGACAGACTTTTGATATCATTGATTATAAGCCATGATATATAGAACATATTCACTGTTAAATTGAGCGAGTAAAATGTGGAACAAGCAAAACTAACATTGGAAACTCAGCCTTTCCTGGAAGCTGACATTGTATTATCTTCACACAGAAAAAAGGATAAAAATATCATCTGAAAACAGTGAGGACAACAGGGGCCCTAGTGAGGTAAGAGTTTCCTCAGCAAATATTGTAACTATTTGCATGACAGAAGAGACCTGCATAAGGCAGTATGAGTGGTACCAGTTTGTGGCTTAGTGGGTATCACTGTAACCCTTGTGTAAGAGTACTCCAGGATAGAGCCCCACTTCAGAATTTGTTGGCCGTGGAAGAACTAAGCCACTGGTGGAGACAAGCCAGTGTGTCCTGGAGCTGGTTCCTGGCCTGAGTAAATGGGAAGGGTTAACAGCAGGTTGGGACATCCAGCTGGAAAACTACCCACCAAGTCCAAAACGTAGCAATACTCTAAACAAATGAAGCCAGTAAAAGGGTGGCCCAGCAGCATTGTGGTGGCTCCATGTAACCTGGGAGAAGATGAAAGAGAAGGGAGAAGATGGGAATTGGTAATATCAATATTCTCTGTCTTTTTCAGGACATATTTTCCCATCTGTCTGAAATGCAGAAAGAGGCATCTACAGCTAGTATGTCATCTGCTCATTGCTTGGGGCCAAATTTGTTGAATCCGAGCATTGGAGATCGGTGTCAAGATAAGGCAGCACAAATTCGCCTCAGTCTGGAAATGGGGGGGAGTCCACTGGTGTTTTTCCAACTGCAGACCACAGGAATGGGTGAGAACATTGATAATGTCCATTTTCCCTTTCTTTCCTTATTGTGAGCACTTTTGCTGGTTGATGTTCTGGATTGCAGTATTTAGAAGTCAGAGTTAATCAGGGTTCTGCTTAGAGTCAGAGTCCTACAGCATGGAGAACAGGCCCTTCGGCCCAAACTGGTTCACGCTGACCAAAATGTCCACCCACTCTAACCCCATGTCTTTCTAAACCTTTTCTATCCATGTGTTCGTCCAAATGCCTTTTAAAAGTTATGTACCCTCCTCAACCACTTCCGCTGGCAGCTCATTCCATATGTGTACCATCCTATGTGTTAAAAAAGGAGTCAGCTTATTGGAGTTATTCAGATGTATGGCTAATGGGTGAATGTAAGAACAGTAACGGCCTGTTTAGATACAGTAAAACTCTTTCCATGCTGTGCCCATCAAAGACTCCCTAGACAAACACAGCACGAAGGTAGATAGGGTAAAGCTTTCTCTACAGCAGAATTGTAGCTGCTGAATTAGTGGTGTCACTAACACACAATGTTATTTATGATTTGTTGTAGGAAGTGGTGATATTATTCAGCTGTCAGCAGTGAGTGGTGAGAAGATCTTTGACAAGTACATCCTGCCCAGGGAACCCGTGTCAGCAGGAGCTACAAACATCTCTGGAATACAGGTCACAGATGGAATCTTGTACCTGAGAGGAGAACCTCAAACAACCTGCAGTATCCAGGACGCTATGACAGGATTCCTTCAGTTCCTGCAGTCACTGGGGAGGTCTCTGTTAGCAGGCCACAACATTTGGATCCGTGATTGTCAAGTCATTTACAAGGCATGGGAGGACCTCTTCATGAAAGATCAATTTGCCAGATGTGTGACTGGGTTCTTGGATACATTATGGCTGGCCAGGTATCTTGTCCCCAGGTTAAAGGTCAAGAACTATAAACTGAAGAATTTAGTCACAGCCTGTGTTAGGAAATCATTTATTTCTGAAGGGCCTCTGAGCAACGTGAGGGCCACACAGGAGCTGTATTCTGTTCTAAACCCTACGCCAGGGCAAATTCACAAGAGTCAGTTTAGTCTCTCTCAGCTCGAGTGCAGAATATCGCTGCAACCTCTCTTTGATCAGCAAGTGATATCCCGTCTGGTTGCTGATAATTTTGCTTCTGAGGGAATCAGCCTGCATATACTGCAGCTGGCTCATAACGATAACCCGCAGTTTGGCCTGCGAGACCTGCTTAGTGGTTATGACAATCTGGGCCTCTTGAACCTGCAGCTGGTTGTAAAACAAATTCGGTCGTATCTCGAGCAACAGAAAGGAAAACGCAGATACTGTCAGAGTACAATGAGGAGCCTGAAGGTGGAAAAAGAGTGGATCAGGCAGCTGTGGCAAATGTAACTCTTGTGGGAGGTCACAGTCATTTGATTAGCTGTTTGTTGAATGTAGTAAGTGAGTTCCCGTTAATAGATTGTGGAACTGCACTCTAATCTAAGACCACCTCTTTATCAGTCCAGCACTGGACTGAGACTGTTAGATGGTGTGCATGCATGAATCAGTCCTGTGGTCAATGCCCACTCCTTTAACCTTTGTTCTAGGAACAGTTGTTCAGAGTGTCTGGCCTTGGGGTTAGGAGGTTCAAGCTCATTAATTTCCGCACCCTTGTTCAGGGCAGTGGTGGAGAGAATCAGCCTACATTCCTACTCTTGGTAGCTATCTTGTGAACCCTTAGGTTGGACAGTGCATGGTATCCAGACATTGCCTATGAACACACCACTGTATCTGAGCTTTGATGCTTCAGGCATTTTGATAGGTCACTGACATTCTGGGCGTTGGTCAAACTGATCAGTGTACCTACAAGGTCCCTGGATACACTGGGTCACTTGCTTGCTCCACATTCTGCCCTCTTCCAAACCTCCATAGAAACTGAACAACGGGACAAGGAAGGCCTGGGGACAAGGAAGGCCTGGAGCCAACGTCAGAGAGGCCCCAGATCTCATCAGGACCCCAGAACCTGATCCAAACTGAAGGATCCATCTGCATCGTGACCCTTCCCTTTCCACATCAGTTAGGGCTCCTGTACAAACTGTTTGGAAAGGTCAGTCAGGCAGCCGTTCCATGTGGACCTTGAATTGTTGTTATAGCAAAAGAGAGGGTACAGGATCAGAAAACACAATTATTGCATTCATCTGCAAGGTCTCATATTTGACAAATATCACAGTCCTCATTTCCTTGGGACACGATACCATTGATTACTGGTAAGTGAAAGTAAAGTGGGATCAGTTGTGAGGGCATGTAGTTGGCGAGAGATTGGAGGGCATGAGCACCAGTGTGGAGCTTGCCTGCTCCGGATAGCTGGAAATCCTTGTTTGCCCTGATGAGAGCTTTCTTGGGAAAGCTCTAGTGCCTTGTTTACGTACTCGTCTCCTATAATTTATATTTTTGCATAACCTGGCACGCTCTCTGTAACCTAAAGGAGCCAAATTGTGTGGGATCTTTCTGGTTGCTAATGTGGTCACACAGCTCAGAGGGAACCTTGAGTTGGAGACAGGTACACTGAGTTTCTAGGCAACATTCCACACTCCATCCAGTTGGTAAAGGCAGACCAATGTAAAAGGAAGAATAAAATCCTCCTCACTGGGAGACCAGGCCGATTTGTATCTTGCCTGGCAGTCACTGAGGGACCCACCTCAACCACCACCACCACCCCTCTTTTTCCCCCCCCTTCTTTTTACTGGGTGCTGCATCATCTAGGGAGATACTTTGTCCTGACTGAATTTAAGCACAGGAATCTCAGTATATGGAGCTGATTTCTGTACGGAACATACCTAGAATGCCCTTCAGACTATTCTCCGCAGACAAAGCCTTTCAGGTATTATCTGCCATGTTACCAGTCAAAACACGTGATCGAATCAATTGTGGGTATAGGCGGATCCCACAAACTGACTCTCAGTCACATATAGTCACCAGTCTCTGTGTAAAGTGATTAATTAATTTTCTAAAGAAGGGTCCAGACCCGAAACGTCATCTTTCCTGCTCCTCTGATGCTGCCTGGCCTGCTGTGTTCATCCAGATCCACACCTTGTTATCTCAGACTCAAGCATCGGCAGTTCCTACTATCTCTGATTAATTAATTCCACCTCTTTTATACTGAGATTGTAACTCTGTATCAATTTGTCATGACAAATTTCAAAATAGAAAACCTCAAATTTATGTTTCACAGTTTTTCAAAATAAATCTTTTTAATGACATTTTATGCAAGTACTTTAATGCTCATTCTATTTCTAATTTGGGCCATTGGGAGCACTAACTGGCTGTCAGTTTGTAATTCAGGGAAGGTGCTGTTTATAGGTCACTGTTTCCTTTCCCTCTTATTCAGTGATCATGTTGGGAATAAATATTCTGCTGTGTTCTGTTGATTTTATGCCAATGATTTTTGGAACATTCTTTCATTTATTAATGATTTCCAGAGCATGAAAAGCTGCAAAGCTTAGAATTCAACGCCTTTAGAATGTAAGGGAATGGATTGGAAGGGGCTGCACTTAGACATTGACTGCAATGGAGTGCAACCCCAGTGCTTCAATGTATTTGTCCTCAGGATGCGAGTGAAGCAGTTAAGGCCAGTATTTATTGTTGATCTCTAATTGCCCTTGAAGATAGTGTGAGCTGCCACCTTGAACTGTTGTAAGTGCACTCAGAATGCTGTTAGGATTTTGATCCAATGAACTGAGGGGAGAGTGATATACTGTAGTCCCAAATCAGGATGGTGAGTGGTTTGGAGGGGAACTTGTAGGTGGTGGTTTTCCTATGCAAGTGCATTCTAGATGTCAAGGTTGTGGGATTGGAAGTTGCTGTTGAAGGTGGCTCAGTAAGTTAATGCAGTGCACTGAGTAGATGGTACTCAGTGCTACCACTAGTGATGTTAGGTGTGATGTGGAGGTGCCGGTGTTGGACTGGGGTGGAAGTCACACAACACCAGGTTATATCTGAGGGACAGTCACTGGACCTGAAACATTAACTCTGATTTCTCTTCACAAATGCTGCCAGACTTGCTGAGCTTTTTCAGCAATTTCTGTTTTTGTTTCAGATTTACAGCATCCACCATTCTTTTGGTTTTTACCAGGTTATATCCAACAGGTTTATTTGAAATCACAAGCTTTTGGAGTGCTGCCACCTGTTCCACCTGACGAAGGAGCAGTGATTTCAAATAAACCTGTTGGACTATAGCCTGGTGTTGTGTAATTTCTGATGCTGATCAGGTGGGCTACTTGTCCAGGATGATGTCAAGTTATTTCAGTGTTATTGGAGCTTCACCCATCCAGCCAAATGGGGACTATCTGTCACACTCCTGACTTGTGCCTTATTGATGCTAGACCAGCGCTGGGGAAACAGGAGTGAGTTACTCACCACGGAATGGAAGCACAGATTGGAGACTGAGGATAGAGTGCGAAAAGGAATGAGTACAACTTGAGAATTTGGTGCAGCTTGGATTTCTCTGGTAATTTTTTTCTCAAGTTATAATTTAGACAGACAATCAGACTCTGACTTAGAGTTTTAAAACTGCAAGCTAATTAAAAAATCTAGTTGAAGAGAAACTGCCTGCCAGTGATGATGATCTGTTGATCAGTTTGTAGTAACCTGAGTTGGTGTTTATTACTGTTGGTTGTAACTAGGGTGTGAGTCATCAGTGCTTTATGAAATCAGACAGGTTTTGGAACAACAGAGTGGAAACAATGAGGACCGAATACAACACAGGAGTAAGTGTTCGCTTGGGCATTTGGCTCAGGGAGATAAAGAGGGGGCTATTTTCAATTTCATTTTTCTCTCTGCCTCCAGTAGCTGTTGAGTGTATAAAAGCATTCATTCAGTAACCAGTTAAGTGGTTGGTGAGTTTTGAGATTGTGTCCCTCGAAACATTGACTGTAGTTTAAAACAGTACTGGGAGATTCAAGTATTGCTTTAAATTTGTAGCTCACCTAGTTAAATGATTTAATATGACAACAGATAACATTGGAATAATATTTCTAACTTGAAGTCTAATTAGTTAAATAAAATAATACAGTTGGCAGGGTATGTGATGTGTTGCAGCTGTAGTTTGTGGACAATAGTGTGACCTACAGTGTAGGGAACCATTCAAGTGTGAGGAGTAAAAAGAAATATGGCTATAGTAGACAGCATAGTTAGGGGGACAGATAATGGTCTCCACAGTTGACAAAATCCAAGTATGTGGTACCTGCCACTGCCAGGAACTTGGAGTGTGAGAGGAAGGGCCCAGTTTTCATGATCCACATGGGTATCAATAGACTCTGCTGAGCTTGTGTAGATGCCAGTACTGTATCTGTACTGGAACAGCTTGGCTAGTGGAAAACCTGGTTTTCTAGTACTGTAACTGGAATATTGTGAGGGTCCATAAACTTGGAGTATCCAGTGCCTCCAGCTATTTCTTGACACGAAATAGAGGGAACTGAATTGACTGAAAACTTGCATTTGTGATCTGGGAACCTCAGGAGAAGACCAAGATTGTATCATCCATTCAGCACTGAAAGCTGAAGATTGTTGTAAATGCTTCGGTCTTGTTTTTGCACTGATGTGCTGGACTTTCCCCATATTGAAGGATATTTATGGAAATGCCTCCTCCTCCTGTGAGTTGCTTAATTTTCCATTACCATTCATTACTGGATGTGGCAAAAAACAATAATTCTTGGAAATGAATATATTGTTCATACTGGAGCTCCATTTTGAAGTATACAACATGGGTTCGACCAGTATGTCTCATTTGCCAGTTATACTGGTTTCTCCTTCTGCATGTGTTGCTTTGATCCACGGGTTGTAGGATCAATTTGCCCTGTCTATTACATACTGCTTCCAGTGTTTGGCATGTCTTTAGTCTTGTGTTGTAGCTTCACCAGGTTAGTAATTCATTTGTAGGTATAACTGATGCCACTCCTGTCCTGCACTCGACATTGCGAATGAGCGTTTGGCCCCTGGCTGACTGTAACTGATATCCCAGAGTGCCGTTAGGAAGGGATCCTAGTTACTATCTGCAAGAGTAATACAATCAGAGGACGCTGATCCAATGGTTTCAATCTTTATAACAAAAGTCTCCATGAGTTTACTGTATTTGTTGTTGGTGTGAGGGAGGCAGATTTGGTGAAAGATGACTTGGGAGAGGATTATTGGGACTGGGTGATTGGGGGGGGAGGGTAATTTAGGAAGATGGTTTATGAAATATCAATAATTATGCTGATGCAGAGCACTGTTCGATAACTACTTTGAGGTATCCAGCCCAATCTGATGATGAATGGAAACAGTTGTTCAAATTAGCATCCTTTGGAATTATGGGGCAGGGATTGGGTGGGGAGGAACTTGTTATACTGAAAGAATGATTAGAGAAAGGGTGTTGGCTCTAACAGGAACACAGCTATTCAGGGTGGTGGTGAGGGAGTGACTTAGCAAATGAATAGGTGCTGATAATCATGAAGGCCCAAACACTGGAAAATGGGAAAGTGTGAGGAATGAGCTAGTGACTTAAGCAAGATTCTATCTGGAGCAAACGCAAAGAACTGTAATTGGGAGGAGAGGGAGATTGGAGTTAGAGAGTGATATGTTGAATAATCAGTGGTTGTTTCATTGGTAATGGGATAACATGGTCCTAGTGAGAGAGCAAGATTGGAGAGCGACTAGTGATGGGGTTGCTGTGTTGATATGACAGTGATTTTTGGGAGGCAGTGGTGAGAGCAGAAAACTCGAAGGGAGAGAACAAGAAAATTTTAAATGGAATTTTAAAATGCTGTGGATGAGAAATCATCGTAGCAAGGGAGGAAAATAGTGAAGATTATTCTGTGAGAAACTTATTGGCTGGGAAATCCTGGACTGGCATTTTAAATGAGATGCGAACGGTGCATGCTTAAAAAATAAGTTGTTAGAGGAAAAGGGAGATAGAAGGTGTGGTTTAGAGATCAAGGCTACACCACCACAACAATACATAACATCATGTGCATCAAGTGGAGGATGGTAAAACCAAGTGGAGAAGCTTCATTTAAGGGAACTGTGTCACCACCATTCAGTTATGTCTCTGCCAACTGAGGATTGTCCATGTGGTTGTTGACGATAAGCTCATGGACAGCAAGGGCTGATTCACACTTAAAGCTACATCACAGGCAGAGTTCTGGAGAGGGTCAGTGAGAGCATATGCACATGCAGAATCCACATGGTCAGAGCTGGGAAAGGAGATGAGGTCAGCCCCCAACAGCTAGGGAGGTCAGGTGGAGGGAGTTATTAGGAGGCAGCAGTACCAAATGCCTAAGTGGGGATTATGATGATGGTTGATGTACAGAGGAAGGCTGTAGGATTTTGAAGAGAAGTCAAGCCTGCAATGACAGCAGGAAAGTTGATGAGTACTGAAGAATTGACCCAGATAACATTCTGGGGTCCCGGGTTTGAATCCCACCATGACAGATCGTGGAATTTGAATACGATAAAAATATCTGGAATTGAGAGTCTAAAGATGACCATGAATTCATTGTTGATTGTCAGGAAAAACCCATCTGGCTCATTAATGTCCTTTAGGGAAGGAAACTGCCATCTTACCTGGTCTGGCTTACATGTGACTCCAGACGCACACTTCCCTCTGGGTATTTAGGGATGGACAATAAATGCTGCCTAGCCAGCGACACCCTCGTCCCGTTAATGAATAAAAGAAGGATAAGAAGAGGGAGGGAAGCGGGAAATGGAAGTGATGAACTCAGCACTGGAGCAGCATCAGAAAGCTGAACAAAAAATAGAGGATAACACTGCACTGTCAAAATGAATTAGGTTAAAGATTAGACTGGGATGGCTCAAAATGAAATACATGGGGAACTGAGAGGAGCTAATGCAGAAGTTCAAACTGGATTTAAAGTAAAAAGCTATGTGAAGTTATTGCAGTAGAAATGGCAATGAGTTGAGGCAGTTCAGTAGAAATTGACATTACAATGATCAGAGGATTGAGACAAGTACTTTCAAAGAAATTGAAATATTTTCAGTCTCTGTTTGAAAGCAGTTATAACTGTGGCAGAAAAAATACACTGGTGATTGAGCTGAGTCCCAGTGGACAACCACAAGGCAAAGGAGTACATGTTGAATGGTAAAACCCAAAGAAGTACAGAGGATCAGAGGGACCTTGATGTGCATGTGCATAGATCCTTGAAGGCAGCAGGTAGATAAGGAGGTTAAGAAAGCAGATGGGATATTTGCCTTTATCGATCAAGGCTTTGAATACAAGAGCAGGGAGGTTATGATGGAGCTGCATATAACAGCAGTTAGGCCACAGCTGGAATATTGCTGCAGTTCTGGCTGCTACACTATACAAAGGATGTGATTGCATTAAAGAGTGTGCAAAATACGTAGGATGTTGCCTGGGCTGGAATGATTCAGCTCTGAAGAGACACTACATTGGCTGGCGTCATTTCTTTTAGAGCAGAGAAGGCTGAGGAGGTTCTGGCTGAGGAGGATCTAACTGAGTTGTACAAAGTTCTTCAGTTCTCTGCTGGCACAGTTACATTCCTGTTCTACTGTGACAATGTAAAATCTGTTCCTGTAGGTTTCCCAGCCTCTCAACTACAGGAGTGACAATCCACTCCAGTCAGCTGGAGGGAAGTAGTAATGTTGAAGTCTGTCATAGTCATACAGCACGGAAACAGACCCTTCTTTCCAACCAGTCCATGCCGAACATAACCCCAAACTAAAATACTCCCACCTTCCTGCTCCTAGCCCACATCCTTCCAAACCTTCCCTATTCATGTACTTATCTAAGTGTCTTTTAAACGTTGTAACTGTACCCGCATCCACCACTTTCTCAGGAAGTTCATTACACACACAAACCACCCTCCGTGTAAAAAAAAAAAAAAAAAAAATTGCCCCTCCTGTCTTTTTTAAATCTGTCTCATCTCACCTTAAAAATATCCCCCCTACTCTTGAATTCCCCATCCTAGGGAAAAGACACCTACCATTAACCTTATCTATACCCCTCATTTTATAAACCTGTATAAGGTCACCGCTCAACCTCCCACGCTCCAATGAAAATAGTCCCAACTTTACCAGCCTTTATTTATGACTCAAACCTTCCATACCTGGCAACATACAAATAAATTTCTTCTGAACTCTCTCCAGCTTGATAATGTCCTTCCCATAACTGGCCGAACAGAACTGGACACTGTATTCCAGAAGAGGCCTCACCAATGTCCTATACAACCTCAACATGACTTCCCAACTCCTATACTCGAAGGACTGAGCAATGACAGCAAGCGTGCTAAACGCCTTTATAACCACCCTGTCTATATGTGACGCAAACTTCAAAGAATTATCTACCTGAACCCCTAGGTCCCACTGTTCTACACTACCCAAGACCCTACCATTGTATAAGTCCTGTCCCTGCTGTTGTACCAAAATGCAATAACTCGCATTTACCCAAAATGAACTCCATCTGTCACTCCTCAGCCCATTGACCCATTTGATCAAGATCCCTTTGTGATCTTAGAAAACCCTCTTCACCGTCAACTGTGCTCCCTTTGGATTGTAGAATAGAAAGTCCCAGAACTGCAGTGTGATTAAAATATCTGGTGCTGTCAGCTATAAGGCGGTGTCTGTGTGCTGGGTGACAGCAAGTTGTAGTCCCAACAGTGAAAACAATGGGGTGTAAACCAATCACTACGGACCTTATTGAACATTAACAACAACAACAACAAAGTTGCTGGAAAAGCTCAGCAGGTCTGGCGGCATCTGTGAAGGAAAAAACAGAGTTAACGTTTCGGGTCCGGTGACCCTTCCTCAGAACTGGTGAGCTTTTCCAGCAACTTTGTTTTTGTTCCTGATCTACAGCATCCGCAGTTCTTTCGATTTCTATTCCTAATGGAACATTACCTGACTCAGTTTAACTTCCTGGAAGAGAGTTCACTCAGTCCCTGGTGAACAACTACTGGAGCCAGAGGATCGGGAGCCACTGGGAGCTCAGGAGCAAACGGTAAGTGGTGAGTACTCTGGAAGTGAGGGCTCTTTGGGGTGTGTGTGTGTCTGTGTGTGTGAGAGAGTGTGAGTGGGTGGGGGTGGTCTGTGTTCCATGAAGATGTAGAAGGATCGCTTCACGTGTGTTATGCAAAAAGTTACATGTCTTCTCACCCTTTTGAACTGCAGAGGACAGATTGGTTGCAGGTCAGAGGATTCCTGTTGATTTTCTCCCATGGCGATCAGGATATATTAGTGCAGTGCAGTCAGACTGCGGGCAGTGGAGCTCATGCCAGGGCTGGGGGTACAGTAGGAATCGGTTACAATGGACTCAGGTTCTGTCTTTACAGTCAAAGGGCAGGGACTTGGGGACAGTGGGACTTTAAATAGCAACTGGATACCAAAAGTCTTTTATTTAAACTGTAAACTAACATTAAGGAAAGTGGGAACTGTCTTGATGCCATTGCCCCCTACCCCAGAGTCTGCGCTAAGTTCACTGAACTCCACTTGGAAATAAACCATGGTCAGGACCAGCCTGGTTTAGGGGGAGAAATCAGCCCCAAGTCCCATCAGACAATGTTGGAAAATGAACAGACAGATTCAGGCAGTCTCTGTTGAATCAGGAAACCTCCCCGTATCTGCTGTAGTACATGAGGGAGAGCAAGGTTACAGCTACAGCAGAAAGACATGAACTATTCCCATCAGAAAACAAACTCATTATTCCATTTAAACCAAGACAAAGTATTGATGCAGATTTGAAATAACCAGCAGAAAGTGACAAACTGTCTCCACACAAACTGAAACTGACAGGCAACTGACAATTGGAGACCAGGCACTGTGAGGATGCGACAAGTGCTATTACTACGTTTCACAGATGAATTGATGATCCAGTTTAAACAGGACAGGGGGACTGATGTCTTTTATGACTCATCCTTATCTCTACCTTTCTCATTTTCTATTCTGTTTCTACTTATCCTCTAAGAGTAGGAGGTGAGCATCTTTGTAATAAAATGGTTTATCAATGCATTTTACCTGTACTGTCACTGAGGTGGCTCTTCAAACCCCATCAAGTGCCCCCTGATAGGAGCAGGAGGTAAAATGTTATTTTTTGGGAGGCTATATTTGTTTTATTACATGATGAAACAGCAGGTTTTCGCTCTATTCTTATTCTTTGAGTGTCAGGGTGGTTACTGGGTTGTACTGATATTTTAAGTCAAACAATTGTGGGTTTGAGGCACATGTCAAAGACTTGAACACAACAGTCTAGGCTGACGTTCCAGTGCAGTAGGTGAAGGGCCATTCTTCCATTCTTCAGATGAAATAATAAACCCGTCAGCTGGATTAAAGATCTTTCTGGTTGCTAATGTGGTCACACAGCTCAGAGGGAACCTCGAGTTGGAGACAGGTACACTGAGTTTCTAGGCAACATTCCACACTCCATCCAGTTGGTAAAGGCAGACCAATGTAAAAGGAAGAATAAAATCCTCCTCACTGGGAGACCAGGCCGATTTGTATCTTGCCTGGCAGTCCCTGAGGGACCCACCTCAACCAGCACCACCACCCATCTTTTCCCCCCCTTCCTTCTTTTTACTGGGTGCTGCATCATCTAGGGAGATACTTTGTCCTGACTGAATTTAAGCACGGGAATCTCAGTATATGGAGCTGATTTCTGTACGGAACATACCTAGAATGCCCTTCAGACTATTCTCCGCAGACAAAGCCTTTCAGGTATTATCTGCCATGTTACCAGTCAAAACACGTGATCGAATCAATTGAGGGTATAGGCGGATCCCACAAACTGACTCTCAGTCACATATAGTCACCAGTCTCTGTGTAAAGTGATTAATTAATTTTCTAAAGAAGGGTCCAGACCCGAAACGTCATCTTTCCTGCTCTTCTGATGCTGCCTGGCCTGCTGTGTTCAGCCAGCTCCACACCTTGTTATCTCAGATTCTCCAGCATCTGCAGTTCCTACTATCTCCTAACCATTGATTCAGGAATAAACAATCTCTCAAATGCAGCATATCTGATATTAATTCATTGCTGCTTGTGAGAGTTGACTGTGTACAGCCTGCTGTCCTGTTTCTTACACTACAACAGTGTTAACTTTTGAAAAATACTTAATTGTTGGAAAAGTGCTCAGGACGTCTGGTAGTTGTGAAAAGTGTATGCAAATACAAAATCTTCTATCTCTTACAAAGAGACTCCAGTGGAAATGGGAGATGTGTTGGTGGTAGTGTAAGGGTAGTATTGAGTTTGAGGTGTGATGCTTCATATAGTTAACACTCAGTCACCTCACATGAAACCTGGTTGCTGTGGAAAGATAATTGAAGTTTAGGAAGCAACATTATCAGATGAGAGAAAACAAAAGAGAGTAACAGCAAATCTCCAAGCAAGAATTGTTTTGTTGCAGGGCTTGCAGCTTTATTTGAGGACATCACTGGGCGTGAGATGGCATCTCCTGAGGTACGTATTTTTGAGAAACTCCTGTACTCATGGGTCTTCAAGGGTTGAAATATGTTAAAGAAATTGTGGGCATCTAATTGCTAGACTATTGTCAAACCAGTCCCACAGTTTTGTGTCAGTGAAAATAAATGATGTATTGTGTAGCAGCACTGCAGAAATTGAATAAGTCTCCTGCAAAAACCCTTTTCAAACTCACCACCACCACCATTGAGAAGGACAGTGTCAGAGATACACGAAACACCACCACCTCTAAGTTCCCCTCCAAGTGACTCCTATTATTCACTTGGAAATATATTGCTGCTCCTTCAGTGTTCCTAAATCCAAATAGAACACCCTCTCTAACAGCTCGTTGGGTGCACCTAGAAGAAGCTAGCTCACCATTCCTTTCTCAAAGGTGACCAGGGATGGTCAATGAATGCTGGCCCAGCCAGGATCTCACCCCTGAATGAATATTGCAAATTCTCAGCACTCCTAATATTTCACTGCCTCTCACCAGAGACTGATATTTGAATCCTGTGATAATGAGTTAATACAAGCTGGAGGAGCCTCAGCCAAGTTGCAGATAGAATTAAACTGGCACTGAATGAAAGGGGCCAAAATCACTAACATTTCTATTGACATCTTGATTGATTCTGGTGGCAGACTGGATGCATACAAAAGCCCTTCCTCACCAATTCTGATGCAGGTCACTAACCTGAAATTCTAACTCTGTTTCACTCTCCACAGATGCTGCCAGAGCTCCTGAGTATTTTCAGTGTTTTATGCTTGTTATTCAGATTTCCAGCATCTGCAATATTGTAATTTTACACTTTGCTTGGTTTTTGGGACTAAGGGATATAATCAGCAGAGAAGAACATAGTCTTTCTGTCTCACATTCCTGAACTAAAGATACTTCTCATCTTTGTCACATTTTTCAGGTTGCAATTCATCCTTTTGTTCTGCTGGGACTACATACCTTTGGACACATCTATTGTGTTCTTATTTGTTCCACATTACCACCCATTTTTTGCCTTACTCTATCATCCCCTTTTCCTGATGCTTCATTCCTGCCCTCCAACCTATCCACTTGCTGCTGCTTTCCCTGAATCCATACTTGTTTGAGTCTGTTCATCTCTAACACCATCCACTTGTGACAAAAGGTCATTAATCTGAAACATTAACTCAGCTTCTCTTCACTGATGCTATCTGACCTACTGCCGGCTGACCAGCACTGTCCAGTTTTCATTTCAGAATTCCAGCATCCGCAGTATCTTGCTTTCCCTTTTACCAACAATCAGACCACCCAAGGTATTCAAAATCCTTTACAAATGTAGATTTGAAAGAAAAACGAGCCTCTGTATTCTGTCGGGTTTAATCTTTATCTCTGATTTTTGCGAAATTCCTATGGGGGGAATCGCTAATATTTCTAGATGGGCAGGTTGTATTTGCTGTACAGTGTGATAACTGCACAAATGGTTCAGATCCTGTTAAATGTCCCACAGTCGGTATGTCAGTATACCTTTAAGAAAGACACTCCTGATATTGTCACTACATCATAGCATGTGACCTGAGAGTTATAAAGGTCTCATACTCCAACTTACCCTGGATCACTTGAAGCACAACATTCTACTGGAAGCACGATTTTATGTTTTTTTTTAAATTCATTTGTAGAATATGGGCTTCACTGGCTGGCCAGCATTTATTGCGTATCACCAGCTGACCTTGAGAAATTGATGGTTAGCTGCTGCCTTGAACCACTGCAATCCACGTGCTGTACATTGACACACAATTTCTTTAGGGAGGGAATTCCAGGATTTTGACCCAGTGACAGTGAAGGAACAGTGACATATTTCCAAGTCAGGATTATAACCTAATAGCTCATTACATTACAGGAAAGTAAAGTTTGAAATAAATGTAAATTATTACATTTATTTTTAATAAATTTAAGTTTGATTCTTTATTAACATGATAACCATGCCTAGTTTTTTTTATGTTACAGGAAATAATATAAGTTTTCCTGCATCAGATGAAACACCCTGTTGGAGGCAAAAATCACACTAGGTCCTGTTACAGTACATGGTTGAGCAGCACCAGATCTTAACAGAATGTTGCATTTGAGAGTGGGGATAAAGGGGGCTTTTTCAGAATGGCAGCCGATAGCTAGAGTTCTGCAGGGGTCAGTGTTCACATTATATATTAATGATGCCAAAACATTGAATGTATTTGACAGGCAACTCAATAAAACATTTGGGGGCAAATGGGATCAAAGGTTATGGGGAGAAAGCAGGATTAGGTGACTGAGTTGGATGATCAGCCATGATCATGAAGAATGGCAGAGCAGGCTCGAAGGGCTGAATGGCCTCCTCCTGCTTCTTTTTTCTATGCTTCTATGATCTGGATGAAGGAACTGATGGAAGTTTGCAGACGACACAAAGATAGATGGAGGAACAGATAGTGTTGAGGAAGCAGGTTGACTGCTGAACAACTTGGACAGCTAGGAGAGTGAGCAAAGCAGTGGCAGATGAAATATAATGTGGGAAGATGTGAGTTTATGCACTTTGATAGGAAGAATACAGGTGTAGTATTTTATACGGGCAAAGACTTTGGAAATCTGGAGCACAATGGGACTTAGTCCTAGTTCAGGATTCTCTTAAGGTTAACATGCAGGTTCAGTTGGCCGTTAGGAAGCCAAATGCAATGTTAACATTTATTTCAAGAGGGCTACAATACAAGAGCAGAGATGTACTGCTGCAGCTGTGTAAGGCTTTGATCAGAACCAGGTTTGCAATATGTGAGAAGTTTTGGGTCCATGTCTAAGGAAGGAAGTTCTGGCCTTGGAGTGGGTGCAGAGTAGGTTTATAAGAATGATTTCTCGAATGAGGTGCAGTTGAGGACTCTGAGTCTGTACTTGATGGAGTTTAGAAAGATGAGGAGGATCTGATTGAAACTTATAGAATACCTACTGGATAGAGTGGACATGGAGAAGATGTTTTCATTAGTAAAAGAGACTAGGACCTGAAGGCACAGCCTCAGTGTGAAGGGAACGGCCCTTTAGAACTGAGATGAGGAGGAATTTCTTCAGCCAAAGGGGAGTCAATTTGTGGAACTCATTGCTGCAGAAGGCTGTGGAGGCCCAAGTCATTGATTGTATTTAAGACAGAAATGGATGGATGGATGGATAGATAGATAGATTCTTCAATTGGTAAGGGGATCAAGGGTTATAGGGGGAAAAGGCAGGAGAATGGGATTGAGAAATGTATCATGATCGAATGGTGGAGCAGTCTTGATGGGCCAATTAGCATAATTCTGCTCCTATATCTCTGTCTTTGAACTCTTACAATGGTATTTAATGATGTTATGCAACTAAAGATGCTGGAATTGATTCAGCTAATGAATTCTGATTGTTTACTTTCGAATCTGCAGTTCAGAAAGAATGGAGTGACAGAGACAGCACTGAGTAATACCAAGGAGACCCTGGTGTTCTTTGACCTGGAAACCACCGGCCTGGGTATGACCATCAGATCCAGGCGGGAAACCCTTTGCTTTGTGCCAAGGCATTGCGTCACACTGTGGAAACAATTGCATTGCAGTCAACAGTTTGTACCTGTGTAGAAACTTTACTGGGAAAGATGGACAGACAGATAGTAGAATTAGAAAGATGTTGGCTGAATGATGACATGTAAATGAGCAGTAAGCTCATTTAGCTCAGTAAGAGCAGTTGTGAGAGTTCAAAGGGAAAATGAGCAACAGCAAATGGAATATTGTTAGGCTTGGGCAAATCTCAGTGTCACTTGTCACGAAAGACAAAAGCACACTTATATAAGTGGGATCACCAGCCTGTCTGTACTTCACCCACACCACACCAGCAGTTGATTGGGGTCTGGAATGCATTCGCAGAAAGTGTTGGAAGTAGGAAAACTCAGTGTTCAGAAGGAATTGTCTAATTATCAGAGGAGAAAAAGTTTTGCAGACATGTGGGGAGAAGCAAGAGGAGTGGGACGAGCAGAGTTGCTTTGACAGAGTGGGTTCAGACATGTCAGACTGAACGTATCCTGTGCTGTTTCTATTGCATGTCTCTCTCTGTTTGTCTGTCTGTCTGTCTCTCTCTCTCTGTCTCTCTATGTCACTGTCTCTGTTTCTCTCTCTGTCACTGTTTCTCTCCCTGTCCCTGTCCCTGTTTCTTGTCTGTCCCCCTCTCTGTCTCTCCCCCAGCCTGGTCTATTCGTGTGTCTCTCTCCAGCTAAACATATCAGGGAGGGAGGGCTATAAAATCCAGTTTGGAAAGGAAGGTTGTATTTTAACATTATATATTTTTCTCTTAGAGAAAGATTGTGATATTGTGCAGCTGTCGGCAGTGAGTGGTGAGAAGATCTTCAAGTACATCCTGCCCAGCAAATCCATGTCAGCGGGAGCTACAAACATTACTGGAATACAGGTCATGGGTGGTATCTTGTACCTGAGAGGAGAACCTCAGATAACCTACAGTCTCCAGGACACCATGACAGCTTTCCTCAAGTTTCTGCAGTCACTGGACAGGCCTCTGTTAGTAGGCCACAACATCTGGAAATTTGATGGTCCAATTATTCTGAGAGCCTGGGAGGAGTTGTCCATGAAAGATCAATTTGCAGGGTGTGTGACTGGATTCCTGGATACCTTATGGCTGGCCAAGGAAGTTATTCCCAGGACAGAGGTCAGCCGCTATCGTCAATCTGATCTCATGCAAAGCCTTCTTCAGAAAAGTTACGAAGCTGATAATGTTATTGAAGATGTGAAGAGCTTGCAAGAGCTGTACTCTTTTCTCAAATTTACTCCACAGCAGAAGCAGAAAAGTCAGTTTTCTGTTTCTCAGCTTGAAAGTAGTGTCTGCTCACATAGGAAGAAACAGAATAAAACCAGTAAATCTTGGAAATGAATGTACTGGAGCTCTATTTTGAAGTTGACAAGGACCAGTATGTCTCATTTGCCAGTTTTAATGGTTTTTTTCCCATCTAGGGATAGGCTCTTGTTCATTATAAAGAACTTTTCTTTAGGCTTTCTTGACTGCAAAGGGCTGTGGAGTCTGGGTCATTAAGGGAATCAAGGGCTAAGGAATAAGGCAGGAAAGTTGATTTAAGGATGATCAGATCAGCCATCATCTTATTGAATGGCAGAGCTGATTTGATGGGCTAATGGCCTACCTTTGCTTGTATGTCATATGGTCTTCCTAATAAACATGTGATGCAGGAAGTTATCTCAAAGCTACAATTAGCACATCAGCAAGATGCTGAATCAGAGCGAAAAACTGTGCTCCAATCTTAGATAGTCAGGGCCAATTTATATCAGATTCTCAAGCTTTTCCAAACAATGAGAAGTTGCTAATTTATTAATATTTTACTAAGCTGCCAAGGAATTGACAGGCACCACAGCTTCCTCCCAGTTCACAGACTTTACTTTTCCTAATATTCAAGACATAAATCATTTATTCATTGTTTCTTGCTTACTGATTGCTTCAGGTTGCTGCATTGTTGTAATCTGTATTGCTGTTTTCGTGTATGTTACAATATGTACGAATCAATAAATAAATAATATTCTGAAAATTATGTTTGTCAGTTACTAAGGGTTCTTCACCACCCTCCTTCAGCCTGCACACATGGAGTGAGTACATGAGAGAAGCCCCTCAGGTAGGAGGGTCTTCTAGTCAGCCACTATAACCAGAGCAGGCATAAGGAATACCCATTCCCATATGCTGGGAGCAATACACAAATTCATTCATGGCTCCAAGACACAACTTGCTTGCCTTGGGTATTTTGTTCAGGAGCCAAGTATCAAGCACAGCTGAGACTCTGTACTTAAGCTCACTGCCAAGCCTGATCCTGTCCTCCTGTTTGGTCTGCCCTGGATCAGTAACAGGACTCCTCCCTCACTTGCCTTAGCCTAGCAGACAGATGCTCTCTACAAGTCAAGTGGCATTTTCCAGTTCTTCTCCGGAATACATGATTCAGCCTTACTGAAATGAGAGATGTTGCAGAAGCTATTATTGACCAGTCACTGTCGCACACTTAAAATCACAATTTATCTGAAATGTTCTTGTATGTCATACATTTGCACACAGGGATCCATTCTCTACAAACAAAAGGAATATGTTCAAGTCTTGCACCTTTTTTGAATTATCCAGAAAATTAGGAGCCTAACTTCTCCATTGGTTGGCAAGTTGACTCTGATGAAAAAACAATCAGAATCCTTTTCTCCTTTAGTAAAGATGCTTCTGATTGTTTGAAGTTTGGCATTCTTGTGGTTGTTCTGATCAGTGTCACTCTGTCAGTGGTGTGGGTATCCCTACACCATATGGACCACAATGGGTCAAGAAGGTAGCTCACCATCATCACCTCCAGGCCAACTAGGGTTGGACAATGAATTCTGGTCTGGCCAGTGACATCCACATGCCATGAAAGAATAAAAATAAGAAAAGCTTCAACAAAATTCAAGTTCTGTCCAACCAAATGACTATTAGTACATATTCATTTAACAATAACAAAATAAAAAAAAGGACATTCAGAGAGCACAAAGCCGTAACTTCTGTGAAGACACATCAGCAATGATTTTAAGTTGAAAGGGGTCAAAAATGGTGATGAGTCATTGCTTAGGTCTAAATGGGTAGGAGTCAGGTTAGAATGGATGGGTTTTGGGATGGTTTACGAAATATGAGCAGTTTTATTGATGGAGAGCACTGTCCATTAATATATTGTGGGATCTGGCAAAGTTAGGTGAGGAATGGAAGACCTTCAAGTTTGTGTTGTTTGGAATTAAGGGAGTGGGAGTTTGGTGTGGGGAGCTATACTGAGGGAATGATGAGATAATATTTGGGACATGTGTATTAAGTGGTGGCGAAGGGGTGATTTGGCAAATCAGCAGCTTCTGTGATATCACTAGCCAATAGCTAAATAGTTGAGAATTGCAAAGGCTGAGCAAAGTGACTTAGGAAAGAGTATTTTCTGAAGTAGACACAGAAAGAACTAGAAACAGGAGAGAAGAGGGAAATAGAGTTAGAGGGGAATACATAGAAATAATCAGAAATTGTCCTATGTGACAAAATTGTGGCTTTAAGAGGTGTGTTTTGCCCTGGTTTCTTTTAAGAGAGAGATTGGGGTATAGGTGTCGAATAACTTATAAGAAGATAAACAACTTGTGAAGCCTTGGGTGTTTTTTCAAAAGCTAGAACAATAGAAGCTGCCTAAATGGGTGTGGTCAAGTTCTCAAAGATCCAGGATTTTTAGTTAGCTTTCAGCAGTTGCTATTGGGGTCTCAGCAGGGTTGGAAGGCAGTGAATTCTCTCCCAGCTGCTACACTGCCTCTCAGAATTGTCTTTTGATGTTCTTTCCTCCTGGATAAGAGACACGTATGTGAGACAATCTGTTTTCTGAGTTTACCTTTTGCCAAAGTTGTGTTTATGGGATGTTACCATATTAGAACAGTTAATTAGTAATAGCTACTGTATTTCTTGTTCTTTTAAGTTTTCCAATAGAGTTAAGTTATTCCAAATTCCTCTCTCTTTTGTTGTATTTTAAACATAGTGTTTAAATAAATTGTGTTTTGCTTAATGTTGAGTAGTTTGACCAAATGAATTGCATCTGGAGAACAGCACTTCACATTTACCTTTAAAGTAAGAAAAAGTTAGTGTCTGGGCTACCTTCTTATTATATTTTGAGGGGATCTGGCCTGGTCCATAACACATCAGTGATAGTAACTTTTGGGTTAATGTGGCCATCGAGAGAGTGAGATTAGGGAGTAACCATGAAAATGCCTGGGGGGGAGGGGTCTGGATTTTGAGGGTGTCTGAGGCACAGAGGAAGTCTGCAGGATTTTGATGACAGAGTTAAAACTGTGATGACAGCAGGAAAGTTAACAAACACGAAAGAATTTGAGTTGTGGGTTAGCTGATCAGTGAGGAAAGATAGGAGGCTAGATAGTGAAGAGGGTTAAAAGGAAAAGAAAAGGGACATAAGTGGGAAATGGAAGTGATGAGCTTGGCACTGAACCAGCAAATAAAACCAGAATGAAAACTCAGAGGGTAGAAATAAGCTGCAAAGACAGTTGTAATGGACCAGACTAAACCCCTCAAAACATATTAAGAAGATAGCCTAGACCCCAACTTTTTATTATTTTTAAAGGCAGGTGTAAGGTGTTGTGTTCCAGACGCAATTCGATTGGTCAAACTACCAGGCGTGAAGTAAGACACACCTTATTCTTACATTATAGTTAAAATACAAACAAAAGAAAGAAGAACTGGAATAACAACTTTATTGGAAAACTAAACAGAATAATAGATGATTTAACTACTAAATAGCAACTGTTCCAAAATAGTAACATTCAATAAACCCACCCTTGGCAAAGACAAATTCAGTAAATAGATTGTCTCATGTGCAATTCTCCAGTCCAGGAGGAAAGAACATCAAGAGAAAATGAGAGAGAGAGAGAGAGAGAGAGAGAGAGAGACAGACAGACAGACAGACAGACAGACAGACAGACAGAGATGGAGACAGAGTCAGAGACAGAGACATTTATAGCAGCTTCCAAAGTCCAACAGCTACTGAAAGTTAAACTAAAATCCTGGTTCCGTGGGAGCTTGACCCCATCTCTTAATGCTGCTTCTATTGTTCCAACTTTTAAACAAAAACGTAAGCCTCACAAGCTGTTTATTGGTTTGGAACAGATCGCTCATTACTTCTGTCTCAACTCCTAAAAAGACCAGGACAAAATACACCTCTTTAAGCCATAGTATCATTATACAGTGAGTTTAAAAGAAATTAAAAGATTTTGTGTGTCTGTTTGAAAGCAGTTACGACTGTGACAGGAGGAATGCACTGGTGATTGAACCCAACCACCAAGTGTACCATTAGTATAGAATGTAATCACTAAAATTGATTCCCTTTGACAATAACTATTCGGAATAGAAGGCACTTTCACCAGGCTTCTTGAATTAACACAGAAATAATCATTTATTATTATGGAAAAACAATGGCCTAGATTATCAATAGAATATTAATCCAGAGAGCCAAGTAATTTTCTGGTTTTGAATCCCATTACGGCAGATGGTAGAATTTTAATTCAATGAAAGTCTGAAATTAAGAGTCTAATGATTGTTGCAAGGGGACAACCCCATCTGTTTCATCAACACTCTTTAAAGAAGGGAATTTTCCATTTTTATATAATGAAATAAAGACCTGCAGATGCTGGAAATCTCAATTTTCCATTCTTAGATGTGGCTCCAGACCCTCAGCAATTGCCCTCTGGTCAATTAGAGATGGGCAATAAATGCTGGCCTGGCCACCAAAAACCACATCCTGTGAATGAATAAAAAAAAACAAAACTTAATCCTAAAATATTTGGCAAAACTGGTCTACAGCTAAGTTACAATTCAGAATGAGAGCTCTCTCCCCTCAATTCTAGACATACACATTGACACAACACAAATGAGAAACAAACTCTGCAGAGATGCTATTAAACAGAAAGGGTAAAATGCCCTTATTGATTAATCCTGAAGAATTAATCATTTCAGAAACTGATTCTTGAGGATGGAGCTGAATCTCTGAAAACCAGAGAATGATGGCATGGTCATTCATACCCAGCTTCACTTTGGATCGAAATCCAGTTGATTTGATTTGATTTGATTAATTGTCACGTGTACCTAAGTACAGTGAAAAGCTTTGGGTATGCGAGCAGTACAGGCAGATCATAGTAAGCAAGGACATACAGATCATTGGGTGCTTGGACAGAGTGAGGCATACAGGTTACACTGCACAGGGGGTGCGCGAAGCAAGATCAGCATTAACAAAATCAACATTATTCATAGATATAGAATCATAGAATCCCTACAGTGTGGAAACAGGCCCTTCGGCCCAACAAGTCCACACTGACCCTCAGAGCATCCCACCCAGACCCATCCCCCTATAACCTTCCTAATCTACACATCCCTGAACACTACCGGCAATTTAGCATGGCCAATCCACCTCAACTGCACATCTTTGGACTGGGGGAGGAAACCGGAGCACCCAGAGGAAACCCACGCAGACACGGAGAAAATCTGCAAACTCCACACAGACTGTTACCCAAGGCTGGAATTGAACCTGGGTCCCTGATGCTGTGAGGCAGCAGTGCTAACCACTGAGCCACCGTACCGCCCAACCTAGGTTTTTGAACAGAGCACAGCTTAGCTTTTTTTTCTAGGGTTGACAAATGTAATCCAAACGTTGATATGTGGAACTTTTGAAGAATCAGATTCCCAGCAAAGATTGGGAGAGAGCTGTTGCTTTCCCACTTGCTTACTGTTGCTGCTCCTTTTTTCAAGTGACCATCATGATTTGACTTTCTTTCTGCCCTTCTCCAAGGGTTTAATACAGAAACTCAGTCTGGCCAGGGTTTCTCAGCAACTAGTCACCATAGTCTCCTCTAAATAGTGCAACAT